GGGCGGGCGGGCGGGCGGGCGCGCGCTTGCGTGCGTGTGCATGTGCTCGCAGCTGCTTCCTGAATGAATTTCTAGCACATGTACTCGGGTTAGCAAAGCTGGCAACGCTGGACCGACAGGGAAAAACAGCTGCATGCACATTGGATTTGCTTCACCAACCGTTAGGAGAAACTGATATGCTCGAGCACCAGTAATAGGTTGCTGATTCCAGGAACACTAGCAACCGAACACCTCATCGGCATGTGTGCATGTCGTCATGAACTGTGCTTTCAGTTTGGTAGTTGTCATGCCTTCCAGAACATTGCAGGAGCTCAGCTTCTCGCAACCTTGGACAGCTCTGTAGTTAGTCACTTCAAGGCAATCAAAACTCAAAACTGCAGTCGAATTTCGCTCCATGATGACTTTGATGGCGAAATCCAAGAATCCAGAGCCTGCATTTTGCCAGGCTAGGTTCGAGCTTTTTCCACCAAGCCGCAGTCCTGAAACAGCGTGCCAGACATGGATGGGTGCCGCCTTTGTCACCACTGAAGATGTGATTGCCAATATTGGCACCGCATACCTGGCTCAAAGCTCCCCGGCTTTGGAAGAACATTCCCAATCGTTCCAAGTTGTCCCGCGAAGCTGCAGAGCTGATTACGAGAGGAATCGTGCCATCTTCCAGCCTTGTGCGTGACGAAAGGCCATCGCCAGAGCTCACCTCCGACTTCGTCAAAGCCGCCTGAGTTCGCTGGCCACGACTACTCCTCTCACTCACCGGCCACACCACTCACTTGCTGTCGCACACATCTCCCAGACAACAGACACTTGTAAGACCAGTCTGTCTGGATTTGAGTTCCATGCACTGCTTTTCGAGCACGGAGGCTCAGCCAGCCAAGCCACGGGTTGCTACGTGGTCCATGTCAATGTAAATGCCACCGTACTTCAGTGGTGCCTGTCCCGAGCCAGACGTTCGAAGTCTAAACCGGCTGCAAACTATCTGCCTCAAGCCGCCAGAAATGAGACTTCAGGGCACAGACACCTGCCAGGGTCTTCGGCGCCAAGCATCATGACTTCAAACAAAGAAGGAACGATGCTTGTGCTTCACAGCATTGCCACCACCGTCAGTTGAAACTTTCCATTGTCATTGCGTGAGGAGGCTGCGAACAAGCGAGCAGGCTGTTTTCGGCTCCGACATCACACGTACCCCAAGCCCAAGCCCTTGTCCAACAGTCGCAAACTTCACAGTAATCACCGTATCTTGCCTGGGTTCCGGTTGTTCTCATGGAAGGTGTCCAGGTGCCGGATCACGCGGAGCGATTGGAAGGACTGCGCCTGCACCGATGTGCACCAGCCTCCCGCCTGCCCACCCGCAGCACTCCCTTTCAAAGTAGGAGCTAACCCAGTCTACCGTGCAAGATGACTCCTGGGCTGGAAGCTCACTGAAGGACTGAAGGCCTCCAAGTATGCGTCCTGCGTTCTGCGGCTCGAAATGCCTACTGAGCAGGATAGGAAACCGCACCATAGGAAGTTGAAGTGTCCTTTCTTTCAATGGCACCGGCTGGGCGTGCAGATGTTCCGTTCTCCAGGATCATCTTCGAAAGAAGCGGGATCTCCTCTTCAGCGTGGACGCTGTTTGAGCTGAACAACTCGGATTTCAGAAAGCCCCGTCCGTGTCAGTCCAGAATAAAATGCGGTAGTTGGGATTCTTGATTGCCTGTGCCAGCATAGGCTTGGCGGGCACATCCGCTGAGGAGGCTGGCAGCAAATCGCAAAAGTCGAGACAGCCCGCTACACCCAAAAGAAGCAAGGATGCGAACATTCTACATGCTGGACTCTTGCGGACATCACGCGAGATCACACAACAGTGTTAAGCCTCTTTATCTGCTTGTCCTCATGGCACCGTTCCGCAGCTGTGAGTCACATGATCAGATTCAGATCGAACAGAAGCAGCAGATGCCATGTTTAACGATTCTCGTCAAGCTGCAAATCCTTGAACGTGTCTAGCTCGAGTCTCAGAGAGCGGCGAACACAGCCAAATGAAGTGCAGTATCTTCGGCACCTCAAGACTCAAAAGCATGCAGTGCATGCAGAAAACTGGTAAACCAGCTTCCAACTGAAAGCACATCAGCTAGCGCCAGGCAGCTGGGCGCGCACATGACCTCGGAATCACCACATCGCCTTAGCAAGGGATCAGCTCATGCCACGAAGACTTCTTGAAACCAGCGCGAGCTCCGCTTCCTAGTGTCTTGGTGCGTTCTGGCCGCTCTTGGGATTCAGCATGCCGTTCCTAAGCTGAGCACAGCCGGCAGGAAGTGAAGAGTCAGAGCACCTCTGCTTCATAGCCTGGCTTCTTCGGGTGGCCTACACGGATAGCTCGCTGCACAAGTGTGGCCGTGGTGTCCTGGGGCCGGAGTTGCAAGCGTTAATATTGCTGTGAGTGATTGCATGCGTAGGCTGCGGGCAATGATGGGTCGCCCAACCACATCGCTTGTCCAAGGTTTTTTGCACAACGGATTCGTTTTGTAGCCTGCCCAGCATTCTCTCTCCCTCCATCGCTCCCTCCCTCGCTCTTCTACTCTCTGCCCCTTCTACATTTGCGCCTCTGCCTGTCAGGTCGCCATTCAGGAAAGACACCTGACAACGATGCGACCACCGACCATCACTTCGCGGCGGATAAGCTTGATGTCTTGAAGGCTTCGGAACGGACACATGCTCTCCGCCTTTAGCTTGTGCAGAAAAGGTAGCGTCAGAGACAGTCACACACAAGCAAATGTCCACGATCGTAGGAGAACGGCCTCCATCCAGGTCCCGCTGGTTCCGTACACCTGTGGCAGATCCGAACTCCCAGACCATCCACTCAAGAAGCTACAAGGTCTAGTGATGCTCGGAGGGACCCGGGGACTTCAACTCCTCCGTCAAGAAACGAACCTCTCGACTCGCGTCGCACAAGTGGCTGGCACACGATGAGCTTCGACTTTAAGGAGGTTGGACGACATGAGCACTGCTGACTCTTTGCGCTTCCATTGCGTCGGAGCGGCGACTGGCGGTGGACGTGCGAGTTGGTCAGCCACACAAGCCTGAAGATCACGGAGGCGGGTTTAACGTGGGGTCGCATGTCAAGAACACGGCATGATTGTCTAGTGGTGTAAACGCCAACAGGCTGAACTGTCGGCATGCTCAGAAATCACAGGTAAATTTCCCTGCAGTTTGGCACGACCTAGCGATTTCGGACTCTTTGCACGCTGATCCTGTGGCTTCCCTGGAAGGTTCGACTGTTTTCGGCGGGGGCCATTTGGTCAAGAATGGTGGACGAAACTGTTTCCCGCCTCTTCCTGAATGCTAGCTGGTGTCTTTGTCGGTGCAGCGCACGGCGCCTTGGAGCATGAGAGAGACACGGGCTATTTCATTGCAACAACACAGCTTGGAAGCAGGCTTCTGGTGGCCCCTTGGCACAGGGCACAGCCGGTGCAGCAACCTGAGTATTGCACTCGCACGGCTGAAAAACTGAAATTGGCGTGGCCTAACCTGCGCGGCCCGGATGTCGTGGATGTCCTGCTGAGCTTCCGCAATTTCCGCATAAGGAGCATCCTCACACACACGTCTCACCAGTGATGGAATGTGCCGATGACGAGGGCTTGATAACATCACGGGAACGGAAGCAAGCTTTGCAGCTCAGGTGCCCAGGAGCTCGAGTCGGATTGCCAGGAGGATGTAGAGATGAAGACAAGACCCAGGAGAGCACCCTCGAAGAATGGCTGGTAAGGTCAGTGCTCCACACTTCGAGCTTAGTCGCTGACTGCCGACGCCGCCACGATGCTGTCGCGGCTGCAGGGCAACACCATCTTCGAGCCATCCCGAGCGGAAATGTGAGGTCTGCCTTCCTGGTCTCATTGTGCTAGAACTCTGGGCAATCTCATGTGTCTGCTACAGCAGAGCGGTGAGCTTGCTCGCAGCCGCACAGATGTGGTCTTGGTGCTTGCAGTGTCGGGGCTACAGTAGCGAGCGACAGTCCAGGGCAGAAGTGCTGTGAGCTAGTAGAAGAGAATCCGAGCTTCGGCACCACACAGAGTTCTGAGCTCGACTGCCTCGGCCTAGCAATTTTGCAGCTTGTGCAAGTAAAAGCGCTGGGAAATTGAGATCGACACGGCACCCCCCGTTTGGGGGAGACACTTATTGAAAGATCTTACCGGGCAGTCTCGTTAAAAGGGCCGGAGATGGACAAGCCTAAGGTCCATCCTCCTTGAGCCTGCCAAGGAAACCGAAGTCCAGGTACATCTTGTGTGTCGTGGACAGTGCGGGGACCTGCTTGTAGCTGCCACTCTCCAAATTTGCCTTGATCTGGATCAGCAGGTTGCTGTAGGACTCCATGAAACCATCGCTCTTCAAGGCCTTGATCAGCGCCCAGGTAAAGGCTCCTTGGTAGATTCCATCCACATGCGCGTCAGCGCTTGTTTGATCGTCCTGGCAGCCAGAGAAGATCCAAAGCTCATGATCTTGGTATTTGGCCTTTTTGAGGGCACCCCGCAGGCCCTGGCCGAGAGGCTTGGCCGGTGCGGCATCTTCATCCTGCTCCATCTCTGGTTGCGGAAGGTATCGCAAGCGGATATCCTTGTTGGAATGGCTCTTGGAAAAGGCAGTCCTTGAAATTCTCCGGTCGGTGCGAGGCACGAATCAACAAGCATGCGATGGAAGCTAGAGAGCGAGTGTCCCGAAAGTGTTTAGAGCAGCGAGGTATCAGTGAACATCATGTCATCCATCCATTCAGCAATCCAGCCACATGCCCATCCATCCATGCATCCGTTCATTCACCCATCCACCAATTCAGCCATCCACCTCGCTAAACTCCTCCTGTCGTCCTTCCCCCCCATTGTTCTGCCGGAATTCAATAGCAAAGGCCACATGCTTGCTGACATGCACTGGCGAATTCAGAGACATGACCACAGTGTTTCTGGCCAAGTTGGCGTGATTTGGGAGCACCGCCAACATGTTCCCCCCATGTACTACAGGGATGACCACAACGAATTGACAAACATGATCACAATGCTTCTCCCAAATGTACTGGCGCGAATCAGGAGCACCGCCAACATGTTTCGCCCCATGTATTGGAGGAATTCGCACATGACCAAACTGTTCCCCAAGTTGGTGGAACTCACACTCCGAGAGGGTTGTCCTGCACACAAATCGTCACGGCACGAGCGCCATTTTACGATGCATTGGACTCCCGCTGGCTCTACCCTACGTGCTAACAGATAGTAAAGCAAAAGAAGAGATAAGAGGCAACCTCACGGCAACCCAAAGGGCAACTAATCTCATGCAAACCGAAAGGCCAACCTCTCGAAGACCCATTATGTCATGCAACCTCACGACAACCTGAGAGGCAATCTCACATCGACAGCATCATTACATCAAGACCGTCATATCATGCCATCCAAGCCACCTCCACGGTCATGCTTTCAATAAAAGTGTATGGTCCACTGACAGGCACGACGGACCAAGAAGTGGGTGAAAGGACCCCAAAGAGAGACATGTCATTACATGTCACTTCTGCGATGCCGAGAATCTGCTCATCCTGCTCGAGGTTCCCCACATAGATCTTGGCGCCTTCACCGGGCTTCAAACTTTGTACATGTTGAAGTGCCTTCGTTCTTGCGTCCAAGAGATCCTCAGCATTCTTCACGGACTCATTGAAGAGTGTGGAGATGGACAAGCCCATCAGGTAATTGTAGTTCGCCTGCTCATCCTCGAAGTAAGCCCCCCTCTTGGGGTACTCGAGCTTCTCCAGCAATTGGATCATCTCTTCCCGGCTCTTCTTCTTGATGTCCAGTTTGCCGGAGTTGACCTCACGATAAAAGCGCACCTTGGCAGCCACGTCATCTCTTTGCCGGGTCAGCCTTGTGACCAATTTCTCTTTCTTGGCTGCAGTGAGGGGCCCTTCCTTGACGACCATCGTCTCACAAAGGTTTGCCACTGTAGCAGAGTGGCAGCAGTCAAAGACGCAGACAGCCTTGCAACCCTTTGGAAGCGGATCGTAGAGCTTGTCATGAATCTCCGTGTCGAGGATGACTGCTTCTGGCCACGCCTTGTCAAGGCAGTCCAGGGGGCAGATGCAGTCGGCTGGCATAGCCTTCTTGTCCACCGAATACTGTGAGCCGTGACCGCTGTAGTGGAAAAACAACAAATCTCCGCTACCTGCATCCTTGTAGAGCCACTGCATGCCCTCCAGGATGACCTTCTTGTAAGGCCATTGACTCTTGTCCTGATCCTCGTTCAGCATCAGGATGTCCTCAATCTTGAAGCCGTACTGCTTCACCAGGACTTGCTGCATGTTGTTCACATCGTTGATGCACCCGTGCAGCTCCGCACGTGTGTTGCGGTAATTGAGGCCGACGAGCAAGGCTTTCTTACGTCCTGTGACGCTTGATGCAACTGTGGACAAAGCCTCATAGGCAGGTCGCCCATCACTGCTGGAACAGCAACCTGCGTTACCCATGGCTTCTTTGCTACAGCCGCTCACAGCGTCTTGATGAAAGCAATGGCTACACGAAACAGCGTTCTCTCGGCCGAGCCGATTGGTTCGCAGGCCCACCAATGTAACGTGCACGACAACGCAAGAGGCAGAGACAGAGAGGGACATATATATATATATACACACATATATATATATATACATGTACACATGTGATGTATTATTTACGTGATATTAAAATATATTGTGCTATGTTATATTATACGGGTATACGATATTGGAGTGTAGTATACCACATCATATTTCTACTATATTGTACTATACTATATTTTGTTTGATTTTATTATACTCTTGTACCATTGTATATTACACTGTGTGAAAGCATAGTTTATAATATTTTACTTTTTGATATATTGTATTGTAATGCATTGTGCTATGTTTTTCTTTTTATACTACATTGTAATTGTAATGTGTCAGATTATATCATAGATGATGTTATAGCATATGGTAACATATTCTATCGTAAGTAGTAAGTAGTATATCATGTTATACCATGGTATATCACACTACCTAATATGACATTTCATACTGCCACGTATTATTGCATGTTGACCGTTAAGTATAAATATGTGTACATATACAAATATATGTACTGTACATCCATATCAAACCACGAAGTTGTATTTGTCATGGTGTATATCACAAACACTATTGCTGTATACTGTATTGTATACGGTGTACACATGCACAGGCATGCATGCTTGCATGTATATACAAGCATGAGCACATATGATTTTCTCTGTGTGTGTGTGTGTGTCCGACATGCATGGTGCGCTTGATATGCATGCAGGCATGGAAGCACTTATGTATGTAATGTAACCTATGCATGCATGCACCGTTGTATGACATAAAAGTCATTTACGAAAGCAGAGTTGCGAGAAGGGGCATCATTGATCGAACAGACACGAAGTTGAGGCATCTTTGTACCTGCTGACCTCATAGAGCGCCCAGCCCCAAGCGAGATGGGCCGGTGCGGCAGCCATTCACATCCTGCTGCTTTCTGTTATACGTGCCAGGCGGTCGAATCGTTAGCCTGATTTTGTTCAGCTTCTCGAGTCTCCATGCCTTCCAATCGGACGTTGCGATTGAAGACTGGAGCTGTCGGCAGCACACTGAAAGGCCAGTGCAGCGCTTCGCGCTGAGTGGACCCGAAGGTGCGCAGGAAGACGCAGTGTGACATGCCTGAAGTTTAACATATACCGAATGCGGCACGGTGCTGCAAGTAGCACGAAACTCTAGCCTTCGACCAACACGGAAAATTCTATGTGCAGGGTTGGCCGTCAAAAGGAGTCAATGCGGCCCATCAATGCAACTCGTCGTTGGAGCTGTGAACCCCGAAGGAGGATTAGAGAAGCACTGCCTGCCTAATTAGGAGAGAGTGACTGTGCTGCTGTTCCGCTCTTCCCACCTGGCAAGCACAAAACACCCGAGCGACGGCTTGTGACTACTGTAGACGGGACGTTCAATTCGGCAGCGCGACCACTTCAGTGCCCATGCGTCGATTGTACCTTGCCTTTGTATTCGGGTCATCCTGCGGTACGCAATGCAACTCGCAGGCCACTGGCGAACTCCGTTTGCGCTCCTCGGCTTGCGTGGAACCGTGGGCGAGCTCAGATTGCCTCGGAGTGGGGTGCAGAAGTTTGATGCCGGATTGTTGCCGCTGGCTTGAGCTTCACCAAGGCAGCCGAGTGTCCAAGTTTCTCTGGCAGCGCATTCTGAATCCTTCTGGACGGGCTGGCATCTTCCTTGTCAGCCCGAGGTGGTTCCTAACAACCTGGACCTAAGCCAAACTGAATCTAACTGGAAGATGAGGATGCTAAGGACAAACTGCCTGTCCGGTTGGCTGAGTATGTGAGGAAACAAGCTCACTGGCGTGGCCTTGCTGTCTTGCCCGAGCATGTTCAAGCAAACTTGTGCAGTGTGCTTGTCGAAATGTCCTCCTGGCATCTTGGCGTAGATACCCAGCGTGCTTGAGACTTGCATGCAGGGGCCTCTCCATCCACCCCCCTCGTACAGCTGGAGAGCCTGACGAGGCAAAGAGCCAGATCATTCCGTATTCAAACGTCTTCGCCTGTCTTTGCAAGAATCGCAACAAGCCAAAGAACCTGCAACAAGACATCGCTGTGACGAAGAAACCTGACCCGGCGAAAGATGAATTCAGGATGACGGCACCGACAATTCGTCAGCATGCCAGCTACTGAGATACCAGCTGACGGGTCGTGATTCTGCCAAGACCTGGTTACGTAGTGCAGTACTCCAGGCACCGAAAGCAGCTGCAGGAGACTGCAGGCCGAGAGGCAGTTGGCAATGGAGGGCTCTGATGCGACCTAACTTGAGAAGGGGGTCACGAAAGCGAGAAGGGGAGTGCGAGAACTCAGAAGCAAGGCTGAAGGCTACCGGGCTACCGTACCTATATGGTGCATTCTGATCGGCAGGCACTACTGCAAGCTAACGATGCTGCAGACATTATGCCGCATCGCCGGACTGGATCTTGGATGAGTCCCACCTACATAACCGCACGGCTTCTTTGCGCATTCGGCTGAGAGCTGGATCCCCAACCTCCATCTCCCTTAAACCTGTGACAATCCAATTCAGGTCGCTCATGCCAAAAGGCCCTAAACCCTAAGCCTCTTTTCCCACCAGAAACAAAGACGATGAAAGGTGAGGCTAGCTTGTGTGGAGTGGCCAGCTGCTGCATCTCGGCGCGCTTGATGCACAGAACCTTCGAAGGCTCTTGGACTCTGCAGGTCGAGCGCGACGGCCTGACACAAAAGGGCAGATCTTCCCTAAACCCTTCACAGCCCTTCACACCTCTGTGTCAGTCCGTTCGTCGAATGCCGAGGCCGTGACTCATCGTAAAGGACGCTCTCCAAGCCACAAATGAACTCGGCAAAGCCCGGCAAGAATGAAACCGACAGAAGTTGAGACACGCAGTCACAATCTGGAGGAATGCTTCAGCCGACATTGTTGCAGAGCTGCATCGACATACTGTCTTGAATGCTGCAAGTATTGATCTCTACGCTGGGTCCTGAGGATTCCTCCGGGCTGAGCGTTCCACTCCAGCTTTGCTGCTGCTGACTTCTTGAGCTGCTCCCCAGTTGGATCCGACGTCTACCGTCTCGACCACCTTTCGCTCGCTTCAGCGCCGGTGGGATGCACCGTTCTGCTAGATGCTTCGAGTTGACCGCAGCGTGTCGCATGACTACAGATGCTGTGATTGCTACATTGCTTCTGCTCGCCGATGTCTTCCGGCAGATGCTGCACGAACGGTCGCTCGCAATGCTCGCATGGATGGGCGGTACCAAGCCCAAGGCTCAAGCTCGCTAACTTATTGGAACATCGGTTTGGTTGCGCTGAGGGGGTGGGTTCCGGGTTCTGGGGTTCCTGGAGCAGGGAATCAGCGATATTGCGAACTTCGGAGAGGAGGCCTTGCTGCTTCCCGGCACGGCAATGTTGACGGTGGCTTCACAGACACCTGTGGCTGCATGGTCTGCACCCGGCTTGCCTAAGGTCGTTTGGCCTTGGCTCGACAGCCGGCAACCAGTGTTCTTCTGCTGCCAGGCTCCTGCCTGATCCGAAACAGTGGGTGGATGCGATGCTGAGAGCACAAGTAAGCTGTTGGTCCCACTAGTCACTAGTCGTGAATTTCTCTGCATCCCTCAACCGAAACTCTCCGCCTGGCACAGCTGCCGCACCTGGTCCTGCAAAGATGCTCCCGAATACCATCGGCACGTGCAGCACTGCGCTGACAGATCATAGACCCGTCACCCGGCTGTCCGGTGTCAAACCGAGAAAGTGCCGAATCTTCTCCTGCCTGCATGGAGAACATATCCGTGCTTCGCGGCTGTTGGCTCTGTTCGAATTCTCTGACTCCGGGGCCATCTGAGCCCGCTGCAAATTGTCGTCGGAATCTGTTATGTCGATCGGGTTGGAGATCTGTCTCTGCCACTCAACCTGCAGAACCAGATTGCAAACGGAGTTCTTTGGCCGGAGCTTCGCGACATGACAGATCACCTTACTAAAGGACTCACCATCGAAGGTCATGTTTCACGACAGGGAGCACTGCATCGCTGAAACTGTAGCAATGCGTACAAGGCTGTTGTCTTCAAGCAGAAAGTCCTTTACACTGTCGAGCTGAGAGCATCCCCACCTGAAGGACACTCTCCAGAACCAGGTCCTGAAGAAAGGAAAGCCACAAGCAGTTCAAACACATCTGTCGACCTGCACCTCAACCATCGGCTGAGGGATCAAAAAGTTCAAGAAGAAATCAAGATGACATATTTCCTGGAGGGTATACTGATTGTCAATTGGATCGAGACAAGATCAAGCAGGGATCAAAAACCAATGAAAGGATCAGGTTTTCGGCTGCCCAACCAGCGTCGCAGCACTGTGGGGCCTTGACGTTCGGGGCTCTTGATTTCTTGGTGGGGGAGTTCGTAGCAGTACGCATATTCCATAGTGACGGCAACAATGACAACAGGGAAGCCAGATAACAGTGATCGTCTTCAATACTACCCGAAATGACAACGACCATCGGGATGATAGTAGCAAAATGTAAAATGTTCATGGTAATAACAGTAGTTATCATCATCGTCATCATCATCATCATCATCATCAAACTCATTAAGATCATGGCCATCATCCTCATCGCCATAGTCATAGCAACAGTAATCGAAGTTACTCATGACGGATCGTAGCAATAATGATTCTTCCTTGCTGCCGTACGAATAAGCCGTTATTCATGCAATGCCATGGTGAATAGTACACGTGACAGTAACAGTGAGAGGAACAGTAAAGGTAAGAGGAATAGAGCCACGCTACCCGAACGTTGAGATCAGACAGAAGCAAAGCAACACAGTGGGCCTCGCAGCACTGCAAAGCCTTCATGAAGGAGCTGTGGGAGCCTCAACCCGGCCAGGGCACAGCTGCGGTCAAAGATGCTGCAGCACCCGCACGAGACCTCTGATTGCGGACGGGGGGCCATTTTCTGAGTCGAAAATACGATCAGCTGGCACCTTGGGTCAGTCATCAGGGGCGTGCTGCTGGAGGCTATCAAGGTCATGGCTGAAATGACCACATATCTCCCGAAAACTTTGAGAGTCAAACAACACATCGCGAGTGAGAGTGCTGAGCCCATGTGAGGGCTTTGATGATATCGGCATGAAGCAGTTCGCTCTGAGCACGTCTGAGCACACCACCCCGAAGGATTTCAGGCCGCAGCTCATGTCAGCCTCCAGGCTGCCTGAGCGGCACAGCTTGCACGTGCCAGTGTAGAGACAACGAGCCCGAGAAAAAACAAAGGAGAACAACTGCAGCAACAACCACCGCCACCAACACCATCCACTGCGCTGCCACTGCTGCTGCCACTGCTGCTGCTACTTGCTGCTACCAGTAGTGGTAATGCTGCTGGTACCTGCTACTGGTGCTGCTGCTGCTGCTACTGCTACTGCTATACTACCACTCAGCCCTGCCACTGCCACGGTCACTTCCCCAATATCCCTACCACTACCACTACCACGACCACCGCGACCTCGAGCTTCTACCGCTGCAACTACTGCGACCCACTACAACTACGACTACTACCTCCACGGGAATACATTGGCGGTGTCAGGTTTAGAGCAGCAGGAAAATCTAGCCAGACAAGGGCGGCTAGACAAAGCTAGGTAAAGCTATCGAAAGCCAGAAAAACCTAGATAGTTACTTTGCTCATGCGCCGAAGATCTGTGGCTTTGAAAGAATGAAAGGGTAGGTCCGGAAACATAGTAGAGCCCAAAAGTGCTGGGCTTCCTGGCCTCAAGAATGGAACGTTAAACCCTAAACCATGTGCCCCACAATGCAAATACTACGCCAACCTAGATAATAATGCTAGATAATGCCAGACAATATGCTAGGGAATGCTAGCAAATGTTAGATTCCGGTCAGGTCCCGGAGGAGTAATGCTAGACAATGCTAGATAATGCTAGAAAATGCTAGATTCCGGCCACTGCATGACGTCAATGCTAGAAAATGCTAGATAATAGTAACTACGACGACGGCTACGATTGCGACTGCGGCTACGGCAGCTCGACCGCCATGGCGATACCGGACCAGATTCTCCTAACCCGACTGCTGCTTCAGCTACACTGCTGCTGCTGCTTTCAACAGTACGGCGAGAGTTACTGGGACTCAAGCTGTAGTAGGCGCAGATGCCTTCGTTCTGCAAGACCTGAACTGTGGGCCCGTCCATGTTGCCTGCATGGCAAAATGTCCTCAATGTGAATAGCAGGCTATGCCTTGTCCAGCTTTGCAAGAAGAGCGTATGCGGAGACGTTGCCTCGAAGACATGACTTGTTCAGAAGCACTTGCAATCCAAAGGGTCTGACCTGCAAAACGACATTGAGCCCCAAGCATCCTTGACAAGCCTGTAGGTCAAAGACAATGAAGCGAAGAACCCTGGGAGCAAACTAAGCAGGTCAAAGGAACGGCCATGCAGCCAGAGAACAGCCTTTTCGTCTGGGGCCCCGGCTTGTTGCATTCAACATACTGTCGCACCTCAACTCTCCAGCATCTCCTTCAATTGTGCTCCTCGAACCCATCTCACAAGCTACAGTCGCGGGGCTATTGCCCCATGTCCTGACGTTGCAACCAGGGGGCGTAGTTTGAGAGCTTGATCATTGGTCCCTCCGCCTGGAGAGCATCTCAAGGCGAAGGCAACGTACACAGAGATTCGGAATGCTCAGGGCCTGGCCAGGAAACCTTCCAAGCCCAAGCACTCGATCAACTCGCCATATTCCTTCAAGATTCTTCTCCTCCAGAGTCTCCAGAGCCACTGTTCTTTTCAAGCTTCAGCAACATAGCAGCATGACTGAACCCTGAGGAAGCAGCTCTCTGTCGCTCCGATGCAGGTTGGTTTTCACCGACACCCTCGACACGTGGTACCTGCACCACAGGCCGTCAAGTGCTGCATCGAGCTGATATCTTGGTAGCACCTCACGGAAACAGCAACTAAGGTTGAGGCTTCAGCACGTGCAACTTCATGAGTTGGACCTTCCACTGGAGAAAGGCAGGTGGGAGCTTAGGAAAGAGGAAAGGCCAAATGCCTGTGCTGTCACCAATGCCACCGCCACCCCGACCTCATGATGGCCACGGCGGCCACGGTCGGCGGGTCTAAGAGATGGAAACGACTCGAGAGATTCTGGGGACCTCACGAGTACGCTTGGGAGCAAACCATACATGGCAGAAGAAGCCACCTCTCTCATGAATACGGATACTTACTGAGAAGGTCGAACTGCCTTCCAGTGTACAGCTCACATGCCTGCGCATAGATTACCAACAGTCCCAGAACACCAACCTGAGCAAGCAAATGCCAGGTTTGCGAGCAGCACTGGCAAAGGGGTGAAGCCCCTGAAAGACTGACAGTGCTTGCAGATGCATCTTCGCAAATCCATGCACTGATCCACCGCCTGCCTTGTGCCTGGCTGTCCACATCCACTCCTCGCACTCACTAGCTTGACTTCGTCATGCTACTCTCTTGCGCCGGCTAGATGGAGGATCAATTTTCGGAGCAACACTGACAAGTGCTGGAGAAGCTTCCAAACATCCCTGCCATCAACAATCATCAGCCTCGGACCCGGCCATCGGACAGCCCATCCTTCAATTATGGACTCGCTACTTGCAAACCTACGGTTGCACAAAGGAGTAGTTTGCAATACTCGCCCAACACCTTGCATCTTCGTCCAGGGGTCGACTTCCCGGCATACTGCTCGTGGTCAAACCGACTTCAGATGGATGATTCATCACCGCTCTTCAGATTCAAACTTGTGCGCTGCGAAGCCAGCAAACTTGCAAAGATACTGCAACTAACAGAACTCGGACCAGAATGGCTGTGTTTGCGTTGTTTCGGACTTTCGGGCTTTCCGTGAACTCCGGCTCACATGCGCCATTCCACTCCTGCAGCATGACCAAGCCCAAGTTCATCAAGATGCCAGAAAGCAAGAACCTCGCGAGTGGCAATTCCTTCAAAGCTCTTGCCCCGGCGGAGTGGAGAGTCAGCTGAAATGTCGGACGTAAAGCACTTTGGGATGCCGGCCGCGGGAACAAGTTCATCACGGGGAACTTAGCTCAGCATCCGAGTGCTGCATCTTCGAAGCATGCGGATGCTCAGGGCTCCGGCCCCAGACAGCCACAAAGCTAGCTGCAGCACTGCTGTCAGCACCTGGACGCCCAAGTAACAAGGGCCAAATGTCGCAGTTTGCCTGCCCCGCAGATACCGGTTGCTGAGACTCCTGCTGCAGCCTGCAGCGTCGTACTTCCAGCTTCCTCGGACTACGGGCATCTCTTGGTGCAGGGAATTCGGGGAGCTGGGAAAGCTGCTGCGTTGAAGGTCGTCAGGCCAGGAGAGTGCGACCCAATCACCTCAGCGGAGTCTCAAGATCTGGGAGTCTTGAGCAATTTCTGGATCAGGAGGACTCGCCAAGTGACAGACCGTTCCACAACAGCCTGCGATGCCACTGGCTATGCCCGTCCATTTCACCTGACACAAGCGCCTCAACTTACAAAAGCGCAACAGCAAGGCAACGAATAAGGGGTTGGCAAGCAGAGAACGGAAGCGACAGTGCCTCTTCGTCCACACCAATCATGTAACCAGTTGAGCCCTAGCAAAGTGCCAAGAGATGACGAAAGACGCGGCTGCCAAACGTCCACCACGAATGTGATTTGAGCCACGTCAGACAGCCTCGATGCCCGCAATACGGAGCGTCAGCGAGAGAATCAGGACAAACCCCAGGCCTGCGAACAATCTAAGCATCCACAAGTCTCCGAGCTTCGCGCGAGTTTGGGGGCCCGCACCGAGGAATGTGGCCAACTTGGGTGGAAGCAAATGCCTGCGGCACTCCATTGCCCAACTATTTCCGAGTACCGACGACAGGCTGAAAAATGCAGAGCATGCAGCGAGAAAGCGATTCTGCTCCTATGTTGGGCGCTTTCAGCTCCATCAACACTCGTGTCAGGCAACACCGAGAAATATTAATCAAGCTTATGTTTTTGCTATGTTGAAAAAGCCATGGAATGACGACTTTGAGCAAACAGCCTATTGCGTAGAGGTGCGGTCGCAAACTCTAAGCTCTAGCAACGGCCCGTTCTGACGATCCTCTCTCGATGAAGCAGCCTTCGATTCATGGGATTTCTCCTTCCGACCACACTTTGGAGCGGTCACCTTTTGCAGCGGCTCTCTGCACTGAGATCTCGAGCACGAGCAAAGGCGACGGCCACGGCCCGGGCATCGGGTCGAGCGGGGGCGCAGGGGATCTTTCACAGCGCAGGGTCGTTCATCGCAGGTGAGTTTGCGGTCTTCTCCAATCTCTGCATGGTACAAAATCAGATCTGCGCAGCCAAGCTGCAGCACCACTTGTGATGGATGTTGTTCCTCGGTCACGAACTGTGGAACTGTGCACCCCATTGGCTGTGCTGGATTTTGGGCCCATGGCAGTCCAAATCGACCAGAAGGGTTCGAAACTCGCTGCTGGGAACAGCCAACCGTCCTGAGCGCAATAGCTCAAACTTGCACAAGCTCACCAACAGTGTCCAACAGCGCACCGATCCTGTCTGATCTCCTCCAGGGACAAGCCGGAGAAGGCAACACACAGCCAAAAGACGACCTGCAAAGCATTGCACGTGCAAATGCCCCATCGAGTGTCCCAAGCTACAGTCCGGGGCACCATGGTGGTCAGGGTTGGTGCCACGGCCAGTACCTTCACTATTGTTGGCAGGATCCCTGGTCAAGCCGATCCGGGATGCGATTTGTCCAAGGCACTCGGGCAGGGAGTCCGGCGTACTTCAACAAGATGGAGCTGAGTGCCATGCCTTGACCGCTCTTGTGATCAGAAGCATTTCTCATGCACCGTCTCTTCCAGCTTGCAGCTATTGCGCCTACCGCGCAGAACAGCGGCCAAGGTTTATCATGCGCAGCCTGTGACCACATGAGTGGCACGGTGCTTGCACTGTCATGCTTCGGGCCTGGGCGATGCCACTGAAGCCGCTTAGCCCATCCTCGCATCAGATGTGGTGAGCATGAGCAAGAGGAACAGACAGAGATCCCAGTCCTCCAGCACTGCAAAGGCCCCAACAAAGATGGCCAAGCCTTCAGAAGTCGCGTCTTCAAGAGGTTCGTTTACTGAGCGAGAGCGCAAGCGCTTGCAACAAGCGGCCTATTGAGCCAAGGAAGCCCGCAACCACAGGGTAGGGCAGATAGGAGACAACGACTGTGGCTTTCTGCCTTTGCTTTGACATTGTGCTTCGAACCCCTTCGAGGGTCTGGAATAGCAGACTGAGACGAGATGCTCTCCCACCAGGAAGAAGACCAGGCTCATCAGGATAGTGTTCACAGGCAGTGCCAGCATAGCGGTTGCGGCCACCGCCTGTGTCGACGGGGAATGGAGGCAGATTCCGCCGAAGGCCTGTGGAGACTGTGGAGCTCATCGACTCCCGCCTCCGGCGAAAGGGTGCCGTCGTCAGCGGCGGCCTTGACGATGTCCATGACCTGACGACATCGGGCAACTGGCTGCCGCAGCTTGTCTCAATGAAGTGTGTTGAAAGCTCCCAGCAATCATCTGGTAGAACATCGTCACAGAGATATCTGCTGATGGAATGATCAAGGGGCACTTGCCTGAGACTTGCAAGATGCTGTGGATGCCACAATGTGGTGCTAAGATTGCCATGTTGCTCCGCATCGGCAAGATCAGGCCCGTCAAGCCGCTGCTGAACAAATGCATCGAAGTTATCACCACCTGAGGTCCCCAAGTTGTCAAGATAACGGATCGATGATCACGCTTACTGAGCTCATGCTTGTCCAAAGGACCCTTTGGGGGACTGGCTGCGCGAATTGGGTAGCCGTAGGCACCCGAGACAATGAGATGAGCGTACGACACACACGAAGAATAGCTCAGCCTTAGGAGAATTCCGGAAAGGATGGCAAGAAACAGCTCTGCAGCACGACTGCACTTTCCAGAGCGGGGCTCCAGGAACCATGGGGCAGAACAAGGTTTGGGAAAAGCTGCCTCTTCAAAGGCGTCAACGCTCACATACCAAAAGCTTCTGGCTATTGCACCCAGGAGGCAAGAAGAGCGGGACCGCAGCCGAAAATGCAGAGAGCCAGGATTTCCTAGCTTTCCATGCACAGCTGCTGACCGAAGCGAGAAGTGCAGAGCCCCTACGGACTACTTCATGATGGATTCGTACTTCTGGGATTCGAGGTCAGCAGGCTGGACGAAACTGGACTTGAGTGCAAGAATCCAGTCTCGCAGGCTTAGACGACCTCCATCTGCCTCGGCGCCAAGTGCACAGCTACTGTACCGTCAATTGAAGTTCGCTCCTCCATGGCCAGCGCAGTCAAGAGCGCCGACAGAAGCAGAACTCTTCAAGAAAACTTAAACAGCAGCCCAGTGGCACGCTTCTTCGATGCCGGGGGATTGTACGGATCCATCACAGCCATGATGGAGCGCTGCTGCTGACGCTTCCTGTATCTCTCCCCGGTCGTCTCCTAGCACTGCATGGATCTGCACGGCACGACACCGTCCAGGCACCATGACCCTCCTGGCGATCCATGGGTGGTAGCCGTTGGCCCACCGGGGTATGTAGCAGCGCATCACTTGGCAGAGCACCGGTCATGGCCGGCCAATGAAGACAAGTTGACCTAGTCAATGCCTGGAAGACTGCAAAGAACTGCAAATGATATATGTGGCTGCTCTATCTGTCTATGCTGTCTGTCTATGCAGCGATGAACCTGTTCAAGCTTTTGGCGAACAGCGCAGGATACATGTCCTACAGATGAATGAAACAACATCTAATTGTTGGCTCTCTGAGTTCAAGTCGAGAAGTGTCACATCAAGCGATCAACCCGATTTAGCTTGACATCCTTCACATCTTACCAGCATCATCACTCCAGGTAAAACAAAGGATCCTCGCCCGGCATCCCTCATCAACTTTTTGGAACCCTGCCTTGTCAGCAAGTGATCAGGATCGCGACTCGCGCAAAATCCATTCATACCACGCTTCCACACCAAAGCCAAGTCTCGCGAAGGTGCATGCTTAAAAAGGGTTGTTTGGGGAAGCATGGACGGATTCCACATACCGGGTGGGCTATGTACAATTCCCGTGTGCTCATCCCAGGGATCGGACAAGCACACGAGGACTGAGGAGAGTGGATGAGTGGATACCCATCGTCTCGCACCTACGGAACTCAGTGCAAGCTTCAGCTTAAAGCTCTGTCTTCTCCTCTCGGCATTGATCTTCCTGCCCAAGGCATGCTGCGCTGTGCGACGAGGAGCTGGGGCTCACAAAACCCAGCAACGATGTGCAGCTTTCCGTGGCTACTGCCTTGCGATGCCTTGCGGCCTTGCAGCTGCCGGAAGGTCCAGAATGCGGGGGCAGAGCGGTGATCAAACACGCTCCAGATGGACAGATGCGGTTGGTTTTGTTTCGGCTAGGTGTCTTAACTTGCCTGGTGGAGAAAAACACGGCAACTCCGGCTGGTTTGGGCCAACAGTGGAAACACTGGCTCGCATCTTCTCTTCTGCTGGCCCTTGTGTTAGTCCTACATTCGAACACTCATGATGCTGCCGCCCGCCGCCTTCCAAACCCAAAACGATGTAGGCGATGTGGGTGGAGCGGGCAAGCAAGGGAGGGGTGCATGGAGTGCAAGCTGGGCCATCTCGAGGAAGGTGATATCAAGACGCAGGGAGGAATGCGGCAAAATGTGTTCCCTGGGTTCATGGAGTTTCGAGCATACGACCAGTCGGTGAAGCTAAGTGTCGCACGCTGCCGACACTGTCAATATCTTGCCTGTGTTATCCGAAATCTCTTGAATCGCAAATCCAAGCACGGCAAATCTTTCCCATAAAGCCTACGCTTGCAGAACTCGGAAAGCCACACGTGCAGCCCTCCCTACCTACTGCACCCTCTCTACTCCACACCTGATAATACACTCTGACTGGGACACATTCTGCCGGAATAAGAATTCGTATCAAAGGCCCATTAGGATTGTCGGCTGTTTGGGCCGGATTGCAATCAAAACCCAAGCCATGCAGGTACTGTTAGAGTGCAGCCTTGAACTGGTCTGACCATCGCTTGGTCTCCGTCAAGTAGAAGGTGCTCCTGGGAGAATCGCTCCTTCCCAAGAGGCTCTGCTGAGAGGTTCTTAGGGCCACGGCGGCTTCGGCTCGTAGCTGCCGTACTTTGCTCCTGAAAAGTCTTGACTCGTGCCACGGGCACGTGCTCGGTCACTCGGCAAGATGCCTTTCCACGATCGATGGCGCTTCGCCGGCTCGATCTGCGTGCCCTCGCCCCACTCATTGTAGGAAGTGACCTTTCAACATTGAGAGAACACTGAATGGGCACAGGGGCGGCCTTCGGCGTCTAGAGTCTGGGTGGCCAGGCTGATACAGCATAGGGCCGACCTGGCTTCATTCTACCTAGCTACCTAGCTTGCCATCCAACGAGTGCTTCCGCGCAAAGTGACTTGAGCTTTGCATTTTTTGTCAAGTCACTGCCCACGGCTGCAGACCACATGCGGCTGTAGTACCTCAAACGAGACGTGATTCCAGGACAGTCTGTCAGGGTAAAGCTCTGCAGAGACGAAGCGCTCAACCCTACAGACGAGAGTGTCGCACTCCCCGCCCTTCCTTTCTCGAATGTTGTGCGAATTCCAGGGTCTGACCCGCGTGTCATCGTACCTCAGACTCAATGTGCCGAAGAAAACTGCGCAAGTTGGTGGTGTTTTCGCACCGCGCCGCACTGCAAACGAGCCGGCTGCACCCGGGACCAACTGACGGCACAAAAAGCTTACCAAGCTTCTTGAGTCTCCTCGGTCCACACGTATTTCAAGTGGCTGCAGGCAACAGGAGCTGTCGAAAATTGCTTTGGCAGTGGTATCTTCGCCAATGCATGGAGCACTGAGGCAGCACCAAGTAGTGATTGGAACACTTGTCGCTCAAAGGCAAATGGGTTCATGTGTCGAGTATGCTGCCTCCTGCTCAGGCACCAATGCTCACCAGTCATGAAGTGATTCGCATCTTGGTGATGCTTCGGATCGAAGGCACGAGGCCAAGCCAGTGCTGCCAGTGGCATTGAGGCGTGCTACACACGAGATAGAACTGTCAAATGACCAATGGCGGAGTCACATGCACTTCAATTCAGAAGCTGGCGCTGCAGTGTCTTTCCAGCTTTTTGTGTTAGATCCTGGCCGGCGGCAGCTGTGCAACAATGCACAGGTTCGTGCACAAAGCAAGCTGCCTGGTGTGAAGCCCTCGGCAGCAAAGTAGGTGTACCTGGCACGTGCATGCCTGGTTTGAAGTCCTAGGACTCCTTGCTCGGCCGATGACCGTCGAGACTTAACACCGCACCCACAGTGGTATTCCCTTTACTGGAGGGAGAGGGGAAGGCGGAAGGGGAAGTGGAGGAGGGCGAGCAGCCGTAGAGCAGGAGAATGCACGGAGCTTGAAGCTTGCTGGGGTTCCAAATCCATGTCGCTGGATCACTACATTGCGATTTCAAAGGAGATGCAGAGCGAGTTTGCGACAGGACAACAAGGGGAAGGCACGCCCCGTCGAATCCGCCATCCTCTACGAACCGAATATCTTCTCGCCCACCGCCATTCCCAATCCATAAGCACCTCGGATGTGAGCAGAGCATGCTACAGACTGCCCTTCGCCTGTCACTGAATTGAAGCGCCACTCCGGCGGAAAGCATTTTGGATGGGGCGAGGCTTCTGTTCAAGAGTGACTTGAGTGGAGCCGTTTGTACAACTTGGTGCTCTACATGCGGCCATTTTCAGCCACACGCAAGAACTCCAAGGCAATTGCAGAGTGAGACATCGTTAGCCCTTAGATAACCCTTGAAGACTAAATTCATCGCAAATTCATGTGCACAAACGATCTCTTCACAGAGGACTGTGTGTCCTTTCTACCCCCGCTCCCTTCGCACAGCTCACGGACAAGACTGTGGCAGTATAACTGGCCTCGTAGCCCGATGCTGGCAGCGTGACAGTCTCCCTGGTCCTTGCACCGAGCCCCTCGCACGGCCGAAGCTCTCGAGCTTGAGAACATCAGCTGGGGGCAGGAAGCTGATGCCTGGACCTCGCCATGAAAATCGTGATGCTGACGCTCAAGCTGGGAGACAGCACACACGTGAACAGCACACACATCAGACACACGCCTGACGCTGGAAGAGCTGGAAGTAGAGGCGGGCGGCGCATGGGCCCACGTCGCCACCCACCTATGTTGCTGTTGAGATGACATGAGCATCATGAACACACGTGCGTAGGCCAAGGTCGTCGCCGCTGAGGCGCTGAAGAGCGCACCTTGCAGTGAGAGGAGCTCCTGAACTCCAGAACGCCCAGGCGCACGGAATTCCACCATACCAGGAAACTTCAAGTCCTCTGCCGGGAGCAGGTTCTCACCATGCGGCCTGCGGAGTAAGGCTTCAAGCCTGAGCATGGAAGGCACTGACATGTGACACGCCAGTAGCTCCGATGAAACTCTGAGGCCGAGGCCATGGGCAGGCCTCGCTTGCTGCAGAGCCTTAGTAGCTTAGAGGTGCCGTGCGTGAACCTAACAGCGCCTCTTGCCAGGGGGCTGAAGGGGTCACGGCACACCAGCGCCACCAGCAGCCGTGCCTAAGCAGCTGATGAGATGAAAAGAGAGGCAGCGGGACCAGCTGGGGGTCGGGACCAAATGTTGCGCCTCCGGCTTGGGCAGCCTCAGAAATGAGCGGACAGGACAGAAACAGAAAACGCACAGAACACAACACAACACCACTCTTGCGCCGCATGCAGCGTTCTTTGATCTCTGCTTCAGCTGGGTTGCTCTGGCCACACCGCATCCGAGTCCAGCCCTTGGTGTTACACCAAAGCGCCACCCGATCGCCCCATGAGTGAAACCCGAGCTCAGCCAAGCTTTGCACGCTGCAGAACTGCACGGAGTGTCTGTTCGTTTCCCAAGCTGAAGATGCACTGCATGGCCAGCTCCTTGTCTAGCTAGAACAGCTACTAGCTGTCATCCGACACCGACTGTCCCTTCGAGCATAATTTTTCTCGGGTACAGCCTGAGGGCGCCACCACACGGCCAGCGGCCAAGTAATCGAAAACGCCCGCCAGCACCGGGCAGTCCTTGAATTCTTCACCCGTCCATGCGTCGAATGCAAGAAAAAAGCTGTAAAGGTAATTCATAGTCCTCATGCCCCAGACTGTGTGACCTTGGACACACCTTGCGAGCGACAATTCTCCCAGAGCCGGAGGCTACAAGGCCAGAGTCCGAAAGGCAAGAGGCCTCGGGCGTGAAACCCGGCCTCAACAAGGCAGGTGCTTATAGCAGAGTAAGGCACAGTAAGCAAGGTTAAGCGACTAAGGCACTGACTCTGCCATCAAGGCATCTGGAGTCACCTTGGTGTGAAAAAGCGACATGGGGTCCAAAGCTTAAGAACAGCACAGACCCGCAGCCTGGGTTGCTCACCTCTGTGGCGGCGTCTTTGGCCGTCTTGACTGGTGCATCTTTTTTTGCTTCTCTGGGCGGATCTTTTGATTTCGAAGCCTTCGGTGGAGACATGCGCCCAGCCTCAAAAGGAGAAGCTCGAAGGTTGGGGCTTGGACGGTGCAACAATGCACGACCGCACTGAGGACAGTTCCCCCGACCGCTGCGGCATCCTGATGGCGACGACTCATTATCTCAAAGATCTGATGGGTGCAGAGGTGACTCAGGCCAGGAACCTTCCGAATTTCAATCCATGTGAGCATGCAGAGACTTAGCATGCCTTGCGGTCGAGTCAAAGACTTAGCATGCCTTGCGGTCGAGTCAGTAGACTTGACACAGCTTCAAGACAAGTCGAGCCGGGAGTGGTGCAGTTCGTTTGACATCTGCCTGAAATTCACCCCCAGCCGCAGTGCACCTGGGAACCGGTCCAGCAGCCGTCGTCTGAACATCCACTCGCCGCACCGCCTCAGTGCAAGGGATACACTACATACATTTTACATGTCCATGTACAACATCTGGGAGCGCTCGCATCGCAGGTCGGCGTCGGAGCAGCCTGGCTAGGCGGCACGTGTGGATGCAGGACGCATGCGAGGATCAAGAGACACTTTCCGCCGAATGTGGCTGCAACAGATGCTGCCTCGAAGTGCCAGGATGTTGACGTGATCGACGGTGATCGATTTTGCAGCCTTCCCGAACAGCGGCAGCTGCTTCCACTTCCATTTGGTCCGGCCCGGCCTCACATCCTCCTCGAGCTGTGAGGGATGCATCGTCGGCCTGGGCTTTCGTCGCCCACAACGAGCGCACAGGAGCGAATGCGCTGCCGCACTGGATGGGGCTGATAGGCCCTGATAGGCCTCTTTAACTGTCCTCGCAGCACTCCAGCTTCATCAACAGCGCTACTGTACCTGCAGCTTCGCTGCCGCAGTCTGCGCAATAAATACGAAGCTGTAGTTGTAACCTCTGCGGTAACTCCTTGCACAACTCGTGCGTGTCTCTGGGCTTTTGGACTTGAGTGAGCCATGAAGAATACAAGGAGTCTGCAGAAACCGGACCTGTGCCGGGTCGAAGTCTCAGAGAATGAGACACTTGAATGGATTTAGGCCTGCTACTCACCGACCCGTGCAAGCTTGGAACGAGTCAGCGCCATGTAGCGAAGTGACCAAGCGCTCGTTCTAGTCCCTGTTAGAGAGAGCAATCTTCACCATTATCTCGAGGATGTACCTGCGGGCGACGCAAGTCAGCAGCTACACTGGCATGAACTCTAAAGTCGCACAAGAACAGGTTGACGATATCCAAATACAGCTGGATGGCACCCTTAGCCCAACGGCATTGGCCAGAATCCGTACAGGAAGCATTGCACAGTGTGGCAGAACGCAGTGTCAACGCAGCTGCTGAGGCTGTATCTTGGACATAATCGTCGCAGTTCATCTGGTTGAGGATTCGCCACGTGTCAAACACGATGTAGGCACAGAAGATGCCAGCGCCTTCGATTGTAATCACCCAACAGCCCAAAAGTGCAGACAATGGCGCAGCCCGTCCTGCAAAGGAGAAGAGCAGGCCTGTCCATCCCATCTGCCTGGCTTCGACTCCATTTGGCTCTGGGGCACTTCTCTGGAGTTTATGGCTGCTTCACACAAGCCAGACGTACAGCGATGGAAAGAACACCTGGGCGCAGCTTTGTCTTGCAAGCAGACATCGAAGGGGCAAGGACTGAACGAGCAGCTATCTTCGTGCAAAATGTGCTGCACAAGCAGCGTGATTGAAGTTATTCTACTGATGTGCTTTATGGATTTTCCTGCTGAGCTTCTGCATGCCTCAAATTTGCGAGGTCAGGTCGCAGAACACGAAACTGCGTTGCAAGCTCCGGACGCTAAGGAGGCTGAAGACGACGAGTCCGAACCTCAATCCGGAACACTTTTCCATACTTTCTGCACTTCACGGGACTGACGAGTTTTGAGATCGAAACAGCAAAGGCCAGAGAGCAGCTCCCAGAAAGGAGAAGTCTCGCTTCGACTTGAATGTGTACCTTCCATCGGACCCATCGGAACCCTGATTGAAGGCAAACGCGGTAAGCAACCATGCACTGCCAAATTGATACTTCAAGGGGCACAAGGTCAAGCCCAGTGTCAGCAAGGAAGTAATCACCGCCGCCTGCACCACCAGCTCGCCTCTGAATCAAGCAAATCTCGGGTCACGAGCAAAGCACGGAGACTTCTCGGAACGGCGATAGAGCTGGCGTGGCACTCCCAAGCATATCGAAAGGACCAGGGTGCATGGAGTTGTCACGGCAACAGGCACAAGCGAAGCCAAAACATCGCGAGCCAGAATTAAGTCTGCACAGCCCAGCACATCCTGATCAGGCAAACCTGCTTGGTTAGGCAACGTTTGCACACAAAAAGCTCAGTGCTTTCAAAAGTCAAGAAGGCAGGAACCCGCATCTCAAATAGTTCAAAGCTCGAATCATCGGCCTACCAGTTCCGGTAATCTGTATTTGCAGCGAACCTAGTCCGATGGCCGCCACCATCGCACAGACAACCCCGACATCCAGCGACATGACCTCAAGCAAAAGAACCCAAGATCAGCGCACGTGGTTTAGAACCCTTCGTATTTCCAGTTCCTAGGACGCCATCACAAGGCTCGGAAGTCCTGAACCAGCAAGCCTCGAGCCACGTTTGCGCTGCGCACTTTTGCAGCAAGGAGGCTGCCGTGAGGAAGCACAGGCCCAGCATGTTGATAGGATAGCGGTCCTTTCCCCTGAGCACGTCGTAACACGATGCTTTTTGGACGCACTGAGCGCTCAACGGGCATCCATCTGAAGTTCAGCCCGGGACAGTTGGCACATCGCCAATGCCACCAAGCTGGCAATAAGCGTTCCCCACTGCAGGAGGCGAGGACTGGCCGGGAGTCCAAGTTGGACCAAATCTGTGCAGACTCGGTGATGTGCTCCGTGATAGCTTACTGATTCTCCTGATTTGTCGTGAATATATGTGAATATGACATCACCATCAATCAGCCCACAACACACGACATGCAAATCGACACGCTACAATTAATGCAACGTTCCGCTCGCGGTCGAGCTCACTTTCTTAGTGTTTTCGCTATGTGCTTTGAGCCATTTTGAGTCCTAGGATCAAAATTCCTTTATGTAGAACTTCTGGGGGATACTCAGTGGACTTATGAAGTCAACTAAGCATCCAAGTAGTCCAAAGGCAGTGTCTATGTAGGTTTAGAGTCGTGGTTCAACTGCGGACTGAAGTTTGTCGGTTTTCAGTGCTGTGTCGGCTGAACGGTGCAGCCTGCGCTTTGAGCTATTTGTTGTACATAGTTTGGTTGGCTTTGAGTTCCAGTCGCGCTTTCTGTACGTGGCCTCAAAATACACCATGCCGCTTCTTCTGCCTGCCTTCTCGGCAACCAGTCCTAGTGCCAGAGCTGAAACAGCAAGGTAGATGATGCTCATGATGCTGGGTCCCGGGTTCCTTCCTTGCCCCCTTCCCCCCTGCAAATCCCGACTGCCACCCCGCCCCCCACCCTCGCGACAATTAATACACCGTTCCGCTAGCCCCCCCAAGCTCCCTCCCCTCAAACCAGTCACTTATCACAGCGCTACACCACCCGAATGCAACCTGCTCGTCGCCAGACGCAGGATGGGAGCATTCAGCGGCCCCCAGCAGCAAAGAGCTCCGAACAACGCAGTGAACATCACCTGGACAAGGACAGCGCAGCTTTATGCAGCGCTCTCGGACTCATCACTATGCCTGAGCGCAGACGATGCCATAAACTTTTCGCACAAAGCCCAGCCGTACCTGGACGGCACGCACGATGAAGCAAAGGCAATGCCGTCAGTTAGACATCGGGACCACGCCCACGATGCCACATAACTGCAGGGAACCGATTCGACGTTTAGCAACACCGTAACCATCGCCGGCGCAATCCCTACTTCTGATGCTACCCCATATGAACAACCGCTTTCTCGTCGTTGTGACAAGCAGTTGTCACTGCACCGTCGGTCCTGCTGCGCACTAACGCCCTGAAGCTGGCTCTCAACATCGGCATAGCGTGTTGTTGCCTCAGTCCGGCCAAGATCCCGGTGACCCCCATCCACACTGCACCATATCAATCTCGCATCAAGTGGCCATGGTGCGTCGCACCGCACGTTCTTGATGACAGCCGGCTTTTGAGCGGAGAAGTTGCTGCGGACGCCCACATGCCAACCAAAATGAGGCCTTCGCTTAGCCCTTTGCACATCGGCTTGCAAGTTACAACCGGGTCCAGCTCGAGGCCTGCACGTAGGTGATGCAAGCTCCTGCGATGCCAATGTTGCAAAATTGTGCTCAGCTCAACCGTCCATGCATGACAATCCGTGTGTTCGAAATCATTCCGAGTGCCTGTCTCTGGTCTCGGCAAACCCATGCAGGTATTCTAGGTCGGTTGGACATGTCCATGACCTCGCTGACATGACTGCAGTACGATGCCACGTCGTAGTCCTGGAGCAGGTGCGGTGCTGAAATCTCTACGGTGATTCTTACAAGCTGGAACTACCTTGCCGCACTCCTGTTCTTCCCCGGCTGCTACGCCATCTGCTACACCTTCCCCAAAGCGGGGCGCATGCCGGCAGACAAGAGTGTACTGCTTTCTGCAAGTCCGAAGCCTGTGCTGCACGCGCCATCGCTGGCGACTGAGGCAGTGCCATCTGGCCGCCCTGGCCGCCCTGGCCGCCCTGGTCCTGGCTCCGGAGGTTCCGGCGGCTCCAGCGGCTCCGCTGGCGCCTGCTCGGAACTGGCAACCCGCGCGCGAGTGCGACTGAGGCACCGGCCTGAGCATCCTTTCGCACAGCCCCATCTGCATCTGCCAGGTCAGCAGTCGAGGGTTGTCAACATCTCCCGCCTATGCAGCTTTTCCAGCCTTTGGCAGGTTTGCGGGGTTGCGATCGTCCCGGCCTTGACGAAAGCAGCTCAACCAAGTTTCTGCAAACCCCTGCATTCCCGCATCCGCCTCTTTTTCTGCTCTTGCTCCTTCCACAATCCCGGATGTAGAGGCTCAGCGGACAACAGAGTATGCCGCGAGAGAAACACGCACGGCGGGTAAAAATGTGCCTCCAGCAGTTCTCTCATAGCCAAGGCTGACTTCATGCCTCGATGACCTCTGCACTCTACCACCGAGGGCACTGGGCCACAAGAAGAGGGGAAGTTCTACCAGGTGCCCGCACGAGGCTTTGGCGGCGGCCGCGCTACCTCGGCTCCCACTTCCGCTTCCCATGCCTGACGGGTGGCAGGCGCAGACGCACGGGAATACTAATGCACTTGGCCGTGTGAAGAACAGCGGACCTGGTGAGCCGCGGCGATGGCTCGCCGTAGTGGCTCGTGTCCACGGGTTAGGCGATGAAGATTCAGATTATCACGGTGCAAGGATGTGAGAACCTGAATCGCACAAAGCGCGAAGCCACATGGCGCTTTCAGCTATTCTCTGCTATTCAGCTGTTCAGCCAAGGCACCTGTTCTCGAAGGGGCTCCAGTGACGGCTCCTCTGATGTCTCCTTCGCGGCCTCCTCACCTTCTGCTGCGCCTGCCTGACAGAACAATGAAATTGCACTTTGTCTCAAACTCTCAAACCCTGACGAAGCGGAACCGCATGAAACATGTTGCATCAACGAAAGTCTGCACTGTAAGAATCCACACGAAGCGCACTCGAAGCGCAAATGCCCCCATCACCCGCGCCTCAACCAACAGCTCTTGTGCTAATCGCTGCAAGAGCAGGCAGCAGACCATTGCGAGTTCACGTGTCAATTCCTCAGCGATTGCTGAACTTCAACGCCACCCTTTCTTGCTTCTGACATGCACACGAGTCAAACTTACCTGTCTGACACCTCTGGCGAGGAGGACAACAAGAGAAAGGACAGGCCAACTACAGCTCAAACATTGAACCTACAACAAGACAAAGCGCCCCCACAGGACTCTGACTCCTCCTTACGTCTAGCTGTCTTGTGCGGAGCATCCCTGGCTCGATGGGTCCGCTGTGGTGATTCCGAGGTTGCCAACTCGGCCTCAAAAGGATGTCATATTATGAAAAAGCAAATACGATAGCAGCATACTTGATTGTGCCTTAGCCTGCCGAACATAGAGTGGCTGCGCTGACGGAGTCTGCAAAAGGTGGGACGCGCACCTTGCGTTGTCTCACAGAGACAAAGAAGCTCTCACCTCTGAGTGACTTTGCAGCCACGTCGCAGTTCCGCCAGTTCTCGGGCTCGGGGAAGAAGCCCGGCTCTCCCTGCCTCCGCCACTGATTCCGTGCCTAGCGGACCCTCGCCTATTAGCCGACCTCGTCGTTTGCCAGCTGAACGAGGCACTGAAGAAGCCCTTCATGTAGCTCAGACGAGACCTGGCAAAGAGGGACTGAAAGAACAATCGAAAAGGTTTTGCTCTGGACCTCAAGGCTGTGCACGAGAAGGCGGGCGTAGGTTTCCAACAACGCCTGACTGCATGGCGCTTTATGAATACTCTTTTTAGGCCGCCACCATTGTGCCTGCACTTCGGGATCTGGACCGGCCTGCAAACAGAGGGAGGGAGGGAGGGAGGGAGGGAGGGAGGGAGGGAGAGAGGGAGGGAGGGGAGGGAGGGGCCCCCCCTTCCAAAAAAAACGCTTTGATGTTCACACTTATTTGCACCGACAATCGAATCTACTGCCTACGTGCTGCTCTTCATGCTTCGATATATCTTTCCAGATCCAGCTTGTGTCTCTATGCTTCCCCCCGATGCCCGGAGAACTCAGAGAACTGCTTTACACACAGCCACAGACCGCCCCCTTAACCTCCAATTTCGAGGCGCGCTTCAAAAATGACCCCAGACACAAGGACCACGAAGACGATGGAGGACGATGGCGATGATAACAATGGTGAAAAAAGTGATGATGATGATGATGATGATGATGATGCTGATTGTGACGATGACGGTGATGGTCGTGATGATGATCGTGATGGTTTGGCCTGCGCCATACAAGTAGGCTGTGCGCGGCACTGCAAGCACGCTGTTCTGAATCGCTGGCACGGCGCCTCGAGCGAAGCACCATCAACCTCTTGTGGCTGGCCTGAGCATGCAGGCTGCAATGGGCCGCGGCTCAATGCAACTGGACAGCTTCCTTGGAGCCCGCCCGAGGACCCTGCAGTGCTTGGCCCGCTGTAGCAGTTCTTTTGTGATGGCCTCAGACCACAGCACTCTCTTGTGTTTTCGGCGGCAGCGGGCCGGGGCTGCAGGATGAGATCAAATGTGAGCTGCGGATCGAACGGCAAGTGTCATCACGCACCGTCGCTTGACTGCTGCATCCCAGCCCATGCCTCGAAACTGACGGGCAAGGAAACCGGCGTTGCTGTCAGCATTATTTGTGAGCTTCGTGGAAGCTCAGATGCGCGCCCAGAGCCAGAGGATCGAGAAGAGCCTTCAAGATTATTCGACCTGCGCAACACAGTTGCTGTGGTCAAGTTTGGCTTCTCGTCTCGAGGCATCGACCAGCTTGCACGAAGCCATGCTTCGCTGCGTCTGGGGATTCTTCTGGCCTCGGAGGATTGTGACACGCGGCATCTGCATCATATAGTTTGCAGCATATAAACTCCACACAATATTGCGCAGATCACACACTACTGGAACTGGAACGACTTTGTGTCGAGACCAGCGGTCACCGTCGGTTATCTGCTCACATCGCTGACTCAGACTTCTTGAGAAGGTGTCAGGGTTCACGGCAGCAAGGGAGGGCCTCCTGGGACCAGACCCGAAGTCCGAGTGCCAGTCACATGGCAAGCCAGAATGTCGTGCACGGTGCTCACCACGGCCTCCTGTAAGTCAGGACCTCAGATTCTCAGAAGCCAGTGACAGCAGGCACGCAAAAGCCTTCCGCACGGCTAAGACCGAGACTCCTTAAAGCGTCGACAAGCAAAGGCCTTGAAACGGCTGCCCCAAACATCCCCAAACATTGTTAAGCCTTTTTCGCTGAAGCAGGCAGGCAGGCCAGCTCGATAATCTTTGAGGAAGTGTATTGCGAATTGCAGGGTGCTGTGTTTGTCTGGATGAAGCACAATTGTTCTGCCGCCGATTGCTGTGCTCTATGCCATTCGCCTGTACAGTGCAGAACTCAGCGGCCTCTGATCCAGAAAGCCACCCTGACTTCAGACTGTTTTGCTTACGGTCTGGGCTTACAGTGCTGTACAAGAGCAGCCATCGCAGGGCAGGCTAGTGCACTCTGCTTTGGGCCGTCTCATTTGGATTTACTGGTGTCCGCATCATTTCGGAAGTGCTTAACCACGCCGTCCAAGCCCAGGGCAGACCTGAAGTGACTCTACCTTTGCAGTGTCTAGCAAACATTGATTCGAGCGGCAGGAACGGGATTGAGATCTCCCAGACTTTGGGGAAGAAAGCAGCGACGGCCCACGCAACCTGCACCTGCCAAAATGCCGCTGTGACTGCTGTGACTGTGACAGAAGTCGCTCTAGTGCAGGCCAGTGGCCGGCACCGAGTTGACCTCGGCTCGGAGAACCCGGCTGCCACAGGCAGCGGGAAAGGCCGAACCGACCCTTCCGGAAGTTACTAGACCTCCTTGAACGCACCGGTTAAGGCGAAGGCAAAGAAAGTCACGACCGGAAGCGGTAACACCCCGGAACGCGCAGGCCAACCGAAAGCAATCGACCCCCCCAAACATCATCAAGCTTTGCTGGGTTTAGTGCTCCCCGACAGTGACACAGGCCACGACCGGGTCGCGCCAACGTTCCTGCCTTTGCTCCGTTCTATGTCGTTCTGCACGCAGACGCCGCCGCCAAGGTGGTTCCAGATAGCCTATTCGCAGAAGGTGCTACAAAAGTAGACAACTTTAGCGAGATGGTTACAACGCGCATAATTCCAGACAATATATTTGTCAGTTCCACAAGTAGACGCCGTCGCCGAAAGTGTTGCGAAGCTCTTGGCACAGGCGCACGCTTTGCCCGTTCTGCAAGTAGCCGCTGCCGCCGAATTGGTTACTTCCAGATATCCTATTCGTCACAGCTCCGCAAGTAGACGCCGTCGCAAAAGTTGTTCCAAAGCAATGGCACAGGCAGGCGATTTGTGCGTTCAGGAAGTAGACGCCTCAAAGTGGATACAAAACACATATAGTGCAGACAGACTGTTCGTCAGTTCCCCAAGTAGACACCGTCGCCGAAAGTGTTAGTCGTGTGTCCCTTTCCCCGAGTGAATGCAAGCCCTTAGAGAGTGATACCGATACATCTGCTTAAGGGGTTTTTGGCTGCTCCAATACCTCTTGTGAAAGGGTTTGGGGGCTCAGATACGACTTCCCAAAATGCTGGCGTGCTAAAGGGCTCTGATGGCTCAGATACAGCTTCCGAAAGGGGTCCTGCAATCCCGCTAGTCGAGGTTTGAAGTTTCGTTTTCTTTGTTGGTGTCCTGGACGATACCTCTCCCACTCTAATGTTGTATGAAGACGATACCCCCAAGCCTACTTTGAATGCCCAGGCCCGCATGGTATGATTTTGCCTGATGTCTTGCAGCACACCTTGCTACAGTATATTCGGGACCTCCGATACAACTTCCTAAAGGATTTTTTGAGGGCTCCGATGTACCTTCCTCAAGAATGGCTAACGGTTGATGTTTGGATGCATGCCGGGCCGGTTGGTCTCCAAAGTGCTACACGTCTGGACGCTGAAAAGGTTGATGCTTGGATGTATGCCAGGCCCGGCCCCGAAATGCTGAACCCCAGTGTCGACGCTGAACGGTTGATGTTTGCATGCATGATGCAGGGCTGCCACACCCCCAACTCCTCCCCACCCCTGGTATCCCCCCACCCCCCTGTGGGCTGGGGGCCTGTGGTGGTATGCTTCCTCCCCACATCCCTGCCCCGCCCCTGTGGTTTCGTTGTTGTGGTGGGCTCAGCACCCTCCTTAGCTGAGGCTTTGGTTGGCTTGAATTGGAGTACGCAACACGTGCAACACAAGGACCTCTTGTCACGATTAGTAACTCAACTATTGTTACGCGGAACTTAAGCAGCACTTGTTCTGATCTTCTCCACCATCATTCATGTCTACAACTGCATCTACCATGGTCGTGCGGCCCGCATCCGCCGTTCTTGAAGTATTTATGTTTTAGTATTTATCTTCCTTCTTGCTGTGGCAGCGGTGATATTGCTCACGATGATGTGCTGCCTTAGGCGGCGACGTGACTCGACAATCGGGTCATCTTTGAAATCATGCTCAACATCATCATTGTCGTGGTCATCTTCATCATGAGTACCATCAAAAGAATAGCTGCCACCATCACCATCGCCATACAACCCTCATAATTGAGCATTGTAGTTCATGCCTGATGCGGGAAACTACTGTGCAGATTGCCGCTTTCCGTACAGGGCAGGGGTGGGGTACCACAGGAGGTGGGGGGGTGGGAAGGCGGCACCCCCAATCCGCGCAACAGCATGAGCAAGGCAGGTATGGGGCGACACCCCAGTGTGGACGCTGGAACGGTTCATGTTCGGGTGCATGCCAGGCCGGTGTCCAATTGCTGAACCCCAGTGTGGACGCTGTCAGAAGTGCATTTCCTCCCCTCGATGCGACTTAAACCCTCCCCTCGTACTATTGTTGGGGTTGCCTAAACCCTCTTAAACGCAAAAAGTCACACCATCTTCTGTTTATCCCCCTGTACTGCTGGCAAAACAAAAGGCCGGTAACGACTTTCACCTTTCACAATACTGGTAGAACCGTACACTGCAAGCGAGTTTCCACAATGTCTGCTTCGTCCTGGGAAGCAGGCAAGGATCCATAACTTGTCAAGCCAACATCAGATCCCCTTGGGACCGGTCTTTTGCTCGAAGTGTTGGAGTGAAAACGCCACGCTCCAAACCAGGTTCTCTGGTTCGCACAGACACACTCCGCAACTATGGAATGTTCTGAATGGCCATCATGTCAGTGTGTACATGCAAGACTGTGGCAAGGGTCATACTGAATCGCCCGGACGACAGCATCGGCAACTTTCTCCGGTGTAGTCCATCCAACAAATCCTCCTGCTCGTCTGACGGACACTCCTTTGCCAGGGACGCTAGGACGCTGCTGTGGGGCAAATTCTAACTGTTGTGTCACGCGGCTTAATCTCGTTTCATCATGTTGGGATGCATAAGTTGCGCACCAAGTTTGTCCGAGGTTTTCGCGGCCATGCCGGCATCGACGACCAATCCCGGAGAGACACAGTGGAAAGTAACGGGTTTCCTCAATCGCACTCACTCCAAAAATCAATGTCTCTGCCAGAAATTCGGAAAACATTCCAATGTGGTCATGCTGACAAGGGTCTTCTCGAGGATCATCTCGAGTCGAAGCGAGGCAGTAAGCGAAGACAAAGCAGCCTGCGGCGGAATTGTGGAAGACAAGCTGAACACAACTACCAACGGTCTTCATGAAACTTGAAAAGTCACACCACATCTTGCCTTTGATGCGCCGTAGATGCTGCCGAAAGGAACCGCGAACTGGCACAGCTCCGCCAAGTTTCGTGTTTATGTGCGCACATGTTCTCAGTACTACCGTTCACACCTTGGCAGAGATGGAAGAGATGTTGACCACGTGGCCGCGCTGGCCCTCCAGGCCGCTTGAATTTCTTCGGAGCAAAATGTTTCAGAGCGTTTGCTCGGACTATTTGCAGGTTGCAGCGAACCTTCATCATCTCTTGCAGGAAAATCTTCGTCAGGTGTATCGTGCCAACAAGATTCGTCTGTAGCATGGCATCCATCTCGGATGTGTCTGCACGACTGCGAAGGAGTGGTTAAAAACGCTCAAACGCGATCCAACGAAAGTCTGCTCCGACCAGGCCACATCATTGTCTGACATCGCGTCGAAGAAGGCATTCCTGACAGATCGATCTCTTCGGCTGAACGGCTAAACATAACACGGCTACAGGGAAGAAGCGCCTGTCAACACCGGCGTTGTTGATCAGGACCTGGCAGGGTCCAAAGGCCATCGCCTTTCGGAGGAACTCGCTGCGGCTGTGGCTGTCCTCAGTTTGTCTACCTAGCAACGAGACAGTAGCAAACAACAAGCAACAGGAATCACCGCAACATGAGAAGATCGTTTCTGAGCCGCTGTTACATCCAGCTTGACCGTGAGAACCTCGCAAGTGCAAAGCGTCCGCATTTTTGCAACAATCGCCGTACTCCTAGCTCTGACCAAAACTGGACGACTCTTTTTCGTCGTGTGGATATGTAGCGCTGCATGCACCATTCGGTGTGCAGGTTTCAGCACCTGCCCGCTGAGGACTGACCGCCGCCGAACACCCCTATAGGGTGGCGAGGGTGGGTTAACAGCTTATAGGCGTCGAAGACGCGTCTCGAGCCAGAGTGCTGAAAAAGCAGCACCGCCGTTCGCGATTGTTACTGCGCACACAAGAGAACAATCGCCGCACTCCTAGCTCTGACGCCAAGACTGGACGACTCTTTTTTCTTCGTCGCGTGGATATGTAGCGGATGTAGCGCTGCATGCACCGTTCGGCGCACAGGTTCAGGTCCTATACAGCCGGCGCCGGGTGCGAATCTCAGCACCGCTGACCACCCGGTGCACCCAGCCCCACCACGCGCCAACTCAGCAAACGGTGGAGCAGGACAGTCGCTTCGTCCACAGCGTAGCAGAGGTCGTCGACTGACTTGGCCAGGATGTGTGATCTCGGACGCCGGGCACGAGCAAAGTCGTCACGGGAGACCGCGTGGGCCACGTTGGCCTTGGACGGTACCCGCCGAAAGTCCACCATGAGGCTCTGACGCCCTGGCGCGGCGCCAAGGCCCAGAAGGCTGCCAGCATACCATTCATCGCCGGGTCTTTGCCATGTCCCTTTCCCACCGCACCACCCACCCACACCCACGCACAACCCTGCTGAGCTTGACCTCGTCGATGAGCTCGGCTGCCGTCCTCCCGGTAGGGGGGGCGCTGGGCCGAGGCAAGGTGGTGCCGGGCTGCGCAGAAACAAGGGGCACTTCTGTCTCCTCCGCGGAGGCCCCACGCCGCTCCATGCGGATCTTGTTCGGCATGTAGTCGTTGGGCACTGGCACCTCCTCCGCCGACGAAGGCTCACGCCTCCCATACAGCTTCGTGGGTCGTGGGTCGTAGGCCTCATGTTGGCGTCGTTGGTCGAAGGAGCCTCGGCTGGGGGAAGGACGCCAGGGAGCTCATCACCAGGCACCTGCGCCGCCGCCCCCAGGAACCCACTGGCTCATAGATACGGCCGAAGGCGCCGACCCAAAGGACGCCTGTCAGCGGCCCTTGGCGTGGTGTCGAGACTCCGTCATCACCAGCGTCGTCGAGGGATCATGGCGTCGGGTGGCGTCTCACTGGCCTCCACGAACGCCGCCGGCACTGCGCTCAGCGCCGCCCGAAAAAGATCAGGCAGGAGTAGCCAGACATGGACACGGATGGGTCAGCCCTGACGCCAGGAGCGCCATGGCTTTCGCATGCTTTCGCCTTATAGCCGGACTTGGGGTCGGAGGGCCCGAGGGCATCGGAGTCATGGGCGTCGGAGCTAATGGTGTGGATTGGCGTCGCCAACCGGCCTGGCGCAGCGCCGATGGGAGGAATGGTCAGCCCCTCCTCGTTGATGTCGTAGGGCTCCTGCGGAATGTCTCCAAGGCCGCCGGTGCCACCATCCCCAGATGACACAGGCGCCGTCTGGCTCGTCGTCCCAGCTACCGGTGCGGCCTTCCTGCAGCAAATTGGCCGCCGAAGCTGCGTCGTTGAGTTCAGCAATCCGCCGACAGCAGCCCCACCCCTGGCGCAAAGCCCATTCGCCGAGCGGCCGAAAGGGCAGCGACCTGACCGTCGAGATCCGTCGAGGCACAAAGGATGCTAGGAGAAAAGCTTAGACGTCGAAGACGCGTCAAGCCAGAGTGCTGAAGGCAGCTACGCCGCCGTTCAGCATTGTACTGTGCACACAATGTGTGTTACACAACATTAAAGGGCACAAAGCGCCTTAAGCGCACGTTTTCCTAGCCCAGCCTCCAAACTTGGAAAACGCTTCATGAGATCTGCCTGACCAACAAATAATGGCGTCACGCAATCGCGCACAGTACTGACCAGCGCTGCCTTCACCTCCTGCAGCTTCTCCTCTCTGCGAGCTCCGAGAACCAGCTTCTTAACCTCTGGGAGCAGGACGGTTTGCAGGCCTAGGCTTTAAGGAAGCTTGAAGAATGAAAGGCGTCAATGCGCGCCTTCTCTGCCGCCAGCGCGGTTGCTATGTACACGCCAAGACCATCCGATGCCCCCGTGACGGCGCAGCAGAGGCCTGGCAAATCAAGCAGGAAAACTTCCCTGCCTGCTCGAGTCTGCCACCTGTCAGCTCGTAGGCTTTCTTCCGAAAGAAAGTCACGTAAAGAAGCCTCGGACGCCACATGTCACACTATTTGGCCACTCGCGGGTGGAGGATCCGCGTCCACCCTGTTTAGCAACTTGCGCGGGTGAAATCCAATCAAGAGGGTTGGGAAATGTTGGAAAACAGGTCAAACTGAAGCATCCTGCCATGTCGCCGGGCTAGAAGGGCAAACAGCAAAGCTCCACCTGCGACTCCATGGCTACAAACAGCCGACTCATGCACGCACACACACAGACACACAAACAGAGAGAGAGAGAGAGAGAGAGAGAGTCATGCTTGCGTGACATGAGTCCTGTCAGACCTCCGACCCCTGGGCCAAATTTCTGAAAGTAGCACAAGAAACCAGGAACTTCAAACAGAATGCCTGTTGAATCTAGAAGGCAGCGCCTGTCAATGTGCAACCTATTAACACTGCTACTCTGAACGATGGCGGCATGACCAGCCCAGCAGCCTATCCCCTAGCCTGGTCGAACGAAACTGCAAGACGACACGACTCCCTTACGCATCGACGCAGATGAAAGATGGAGGGCCCTCGGGAGCATCACCACTTCCCTAGCGGCCCTAGCCCAGGATGCCGCAACACCCGGAAGGCTGCCTGCATAGAGGCAAGCAGTTCCCAGGCAGAGGACCATCCACATGCTCAAAGGTTGGCGAAGCGTTCAACGGGGCTGGAGGAGTGGTTCCTTGTCGTTACGTGGTTCGGCTTTCGCTTTCAGCAGCTTGGCTCGATCCAACATCTTCGGCATGCCGCAGCTGTCAGAATGATAAAGGCCCAAACCGGAAACAAATGAAGTTGGGCTCCGGGCATGATTCGCTCCTGCAGCCATGTGCATCTGACACAGATTCTTCCACTGAGAACACGGGCGAACTATCCGCGACGAGAGACAGAAGACCCTGCAGACGTGTCAAAACACTCATATGCCAGCTCTGATCCTTCAGTGCGGCTGTAGCAGCAGAAGTATCGTCGCCGCCAAGGCTGTGAAACTGCCGAACCTCAATGCATGTGATCGGTCTGCACTGGCAATACATCATGAGCGCTGAGGCGCAGGCTATTGATCGCAGCAACAGCAGCTGCTCTTGACGGGCTTTGGGTGTGACCTTGGCAGCAAAGCTCGAGAATTTCCCACAGCTTTGCGGCAAAGATTCACAGGTGAGACGAAGGCGAGCGGTCTCTTGCTGTCGAAGCCAAGACGAAGGAATCGGTTCAGCTCCTCCACCGAAGTCGAGGTCCCGATGACCTTGAGAAACATGGCAATGCTCATGCTAGCGGGAAAGGAGATCGGCAACTTCCGATTTGATCGTGCCTCCTCCAATGCCTGCACAGCACGGGCTGCCTAGCAGAGATGGCACGCAACACAACTTGCCAAGCGAAGCCAATGGTCCGAGGTCCGTGCGGTGTGCTTGTCTTCTAGGCGCTCTAGATTTTGTAGAACCTCGGAACTTCATGCATCGGAGGAAAGCCAATCTGGCGACAGCAGTAAATGGCAGCTTGCGTCTAGGCAGAACCGCTAAGTGAAGAAACCAAGTGTTCTCGTTGCCGCTGTCGAAGCTTCTTCCTGGGATCCACTAAATGAAATAGTATGCAAACACTCGTCACGACTGCTGCCCATGCTTGTCTGACTTGCAAAACCCGCTTAACAACCCTACATAGATTCTAGTCACCGATGTCACTAGCACATAGCAGCCGCTTCATGAATATCAAAGAACCAGTCGTCACTCTGCACACCTCGGAAATATGACCAGCTGTCCAACTTCGAGACAGACACGTGCTTGCAGCGACGCTAGTGGAGAAACGAATCATTAGGCGATCTGGTAAGCATCGACCTGCAGGTGCCAATCTTGCTAAACGCCGATGACCTACATGCCACGGAGGCTATGTTTGCTGAGGCAGCTACACTTCTGCCGCAGTGCCTCCCGTCGGTGCGCCCTTCCTGGCACCTGGCAGAACTCCCAAAAGCGATCAGAAGGAACTCCGAGTCTTCCAACCAGCGCCTGGTTTGGGGGACTTCTGCCGCCGCTCTTGAAGAAACTGCCTGGCACCACGTGAATCTTTCGAATCTTCAACCGGGAGCGCAGTTCCATCGAACCGCTTCAAACTTGGTAGGCGAGCGCATGTTCTGCCTCAGGAATGTTGCGTTTAGTCTGTTGCTGGCTACGGAAGGCGAAACGTTTTCAGCTGCACAACAACTGTGTTCCGCACTTTGAATGGGTTCGGATGACCCTTTACTGTTGCATCTCCTTGCAAACAGCCGTTCGACTGCATCCGGCTGTGCATGCTGGTTTTGAAGCCTGGGCCGTCTCAGCTTAGCATACTGACACTTACTCAATCTTAGTCACATGCTCTACTCGCCGGGAATCCTCCTCCAGGCTCGAAGCTCTTTGCCAGCCTTGGCGCCTTAGCGAGGGAGCCGGCCGTTGATATCTGTACTTCTAACTGACTGCTTGTTGGCAGCTGCATGTTCGTAATGCATCATCGTATGGGGTCGACGTAGCTTTCTTCGATGGCACAGGACCCCGTCATGCAGCATGCTCTCTGCACGGAGGCAGATGTCGCTTGCTGGGAGTCTCCTCCAGGGCATCTCGTGTTCCCTTGTGGGGTGTCTTCAGTCCGGCTTCGGGTGGTACGAGTGGTGCCTTGAGTGTACTGACAGGTGTGCTTGGGAGCTGAATCCCTGTTTGAATTCCGTGCGGATTTGTGTTGGTCTAAAACGTCGCCGTGCTGAGCTTGTGCCCATTAACTGCCCGGCACTGGCAAATGAGAATAAGTTGAGGAAAAAATTAACGGCGCACAAGATGCCGCCTGGTCCTCTGAGGCGGGAGCGCTGGTCGGCCGCAGTCCACCCCGACTGGCCGAGCGTCGGCGCATGCGCCAGGGACCCTTGGGCACAGGCTTGACGGAGAAAGATGCACATCTACAAGGGGAGGGACGTACAGCCGGCAGGAACGGACAGCTGTTCTGTCCCCCGTGGTGAAAACACACGAGGCTCACTCTGTGAAGTAGGGAAAGTCTAGCAGGGTTTCTGGGCCGCTTGCAGTCTGAAGGGCATCAGACCCGGTGGCAGCAGAGGCTTGGCCAAGAGCCCAAATGCAGCAGGCGTACAACTTGGAGCGGATGCAGTGTACGCTTACAAAGGTGGACCGAAAATAACTTCTGATATTCCTGCCTCCGCACAGAACCCCGAACGATCAGAGCTCAGCACAGGAACACGCCGTCCAACTCGGTGCCTCGTACGGAATCGAGTGCCTCAGTGACATTGGCAGACATCTCGATTGCATGGGCCAGGCGCTTCACGAAAAGCGGGTCTGCCGAAGCCGGGTTGCTTCCTTCCAAGCAGCGATATCCTGCATGGAGTGCTGGGCCGAAACCTGACGAGTCATCCGGCAAACACGAAAAAGCACCATGCCGTGCTTTTTTTCAGGACATCAGGAGGCTCTGCCGAGGGTCTTTTTGGAGTGCCTGAGGAGCACGCATCATACAGCCAGAAGAGTGGCAGCTTCTTTGGGCCCTGCAGCCGCAGAAGCGAGCAGAAGCCAGGCAACGGCAGCAAAAGCGCAGCGCCTCGCGCCAGATGGCTGGGTGGTGCCCGTACTCGCGGACGATGTAGGCGAGGTCATCCAGGAACCTCACATCACAGCGAAGCATCTCCTGAGTCGCAGTGCAGACAGAGGCCATGGCGTTTGCGGGGATCGGCCCCCGTACGGCTCAATGTGGAAGGACCTGAGCTCATGGAAGCAACGGGAAGCGGAAGTAGAAAGCCAAGGCGCCCTGCACAAAAACGCCGGCTTGGACTGCAGCCTGCAACATGTCGAAGCGTTGAGGCCGACTCCCACAGATGCTTTGAGTCTTGCCACGTGCACGAGAGGCAGAAGGCTCACAAAGCTTACGGAAACAGCCTCAAGCACCGATGGAATCAGTTCATCCGTGTTGGCACCTGCATGCCATGGACATTCTGGCTGGTGCGCACTAAGTTGCCAATCAGAGTCACCAAGCTTTTTCAAGAGCTTCTGCTCGTCAGGAAATCCCGGCTTTAAGTGTGTCAGAGCAGACTCATCACTCACCAATTGGCGCCAATGGTGGTTCACGCAACTGTACGCTGTTCACCTCACTCATCGTTTAATACTACAGTAGCCACCACGGCTCGCACAATGCCAACAGTATGTCCCAAGATACCCGCATCTTCAGAGGAACGTCGACGTCGGACGCCTGAGTCAGCATCATCTCGCTTGCCGGCCCAGTCCTCCGCTGCACAGGGCCGAGAGAAGGGCATCTGACTCCCTCTGGCCAAAGGCCTTTCGCCCCCACCAGGAACACATTGCGGAGTCAACACCTGCCTGGAACAACATCAGCAGTGCTTGCGCACAGGACAACAGGAGGTTCGTGCTCCCAAGCCGGCTCGCTGCCTTTGCCAGATCCTCAAACTGGCTCAGGAGGATGGACTCGTCGCTTGAGCTGGGGTAGAAGCCAGGTGTAGACACATGCACATCCCGGTCCCGCATGCGCGGGAGCATCAGTGGGCCTGTATGGGCCCCGTTCAGGATAGAAGGTGGCGTGGGGCCTTGCATGGCATGCCATGGCACATCTACTCATCATCTCAGTGCGTGCGGCTTATGTTGCAGGCATTGATCTAAAGCTGCGGGTCTCGGACTCGTCTGGCGGGCTCCAGTTGAACTTGTCATATTTGGCATCTACCTGGGCACTACCACTACCACTTCAAGCTACCAGACGGGCAGTTTGCCGGCACCTCCTTGTCCCAATGAGGAAGCACCTGACCGGCATTGCTGTCCGGGGCAGCATGGCTCGGAATAAGTGCCTTGTGATCCCAGTGCAGCCACTTGCCATCCACCTCATTCTCTTGTCATCGGACAATGCTGATGGCTGACCTGGACGCTCATGCCCCGACTGTAGTCTCAGGCTGAAACCTCCGGAGTACCATACCTGGCGAAGCTCGTGCTTTCAGCTGGCAAGCTGAGTTGTCGGAGGCCCGTGCCAGAGGTAGAAGGCTGCATGGACAGCAGGGACGCTCCCGTCGGCCCTCCGGACAGCCGGACACCATGAGAACCGGAACAGCAATGCATGCATCAGCAATTAACCAAGCTGGACCGTCCTCGTGCAGGTTGGCGTCGAGGTCGCGCTGACCTCCCCGGTAAGTTCTACTTGACAGCTGATGCGTCCAGCTTTTCGTCTCGCTGATGAGGCTATGTTGCAGCATAGACAAAAGCAGCACGGCAAGGACTGGGTGGAGTACTGTATTGACTGCCCAGAAGCATGAAGCCTGATAATCAGCCTCCCTGCGCAAGATTGGTGACAGAGCCTCATCCGCAGCTTCTTCGGAGCGCGCTAGCCTAGAAGTGCAGAGCTTGGAAAGTGCAGCAAACATGAAATTCAAACTCGGGCCTTCCAACACTCTCCGCCTTTTTGCAGCTTTCTGCTGCTGGGGGCTCACTGCCCCGATGCAGCGAAAAGATGAACGTCCGAAAGCTAGGGTGCAGATGGGTGCAGAGCAGCCGAGATACTGCATGTGCTGCAGCGTGAAACAGAGACTCTGGCTGAAGAGAGCAGCTACTTGCTGAATTGCACTGTTTGGTAGTTGCTCAAGGCGCACAATTCATGATGTGCTTTGCCATGCAAAATGCTTCCATAGAGAGAGGCGATTGCTTCTGCTTCTGCTGCTCCGCTGCTCGAGCTCTCAGCACTGTGCCGCATCTACCTTACGTGGCAGCTGACAGGACAAACGCTCCACGAACATGGACGTCTTTACCCATCTGCTGCGAAGTGGCTGCAGATGCCGCACTAGGTATGCTGCAGAGATGGCAAGGCCTGAAGCTCGTTGGGCAATGAGAAGCTTACGTTCTTTCTCGAGCAAAGTCTTAGCTTCGGACAGCTTGCCACGACGATAGCAGGCGTCACACCACAAGCTGCAAAAGGCCTGCAACAGAAGCCGGTGCAAAGTGCGAGCGCCTTGCTGCAAGTTCGTGCAGCTGAAGCTTGCACGACCCGTCGCAAAAACTTCAACCAAGCGGACAGAAGCACTTCAGCAAAGCTGCGAGAAGACCGGCGTCATGAAGCAAGACAGAACACTGAAAACACAGTCGAAGGCAAGATTTCAGGTAGTATCATCCGCTAGGCCGCCTTTCATGTCTGCGCAGTGCCGACAACAGCACCGCTAGCTTTGCTGGATTCAGAAGCTCCCTCGCGTCCTGGCAGGCGAAAAGCCGCAGTTTGGGAGGTTGCCTCTGCCCTAGACAAACAGCCCCATGTGCAAGTCTTCCCTGATGCGCAACACACGATAATTCTAGTCGAACCAGAAGCCACAGCCCATCACTGGTCCAGGGGTTTCAGGGCCTTGGGATGGGAAGCAGCAAAAGCAGCTCCGGCAATCAGCAGTTTTGACAAGAGCTGTCGCTTGTTGGCATCCTCGGATAGCGGCAAGGGATGCTCTTCCCTCGAAACAAACAGCCGCCAAACCCAGCCCAATTTCAACTCTCCTCTAGTCTAATCACCCGCAATTTTCAGACCAGCTCTGACTGTGACCCAGAGCCTCAACACACCGCTCGTCACTCCCTGCGGCAAAGATTGCAGTAGCAAGACTATGTTTGGGGCCACCGTCGTGCGAGCGGGATGTCATGTCAAAAGCAACCGATGCACACGCACACACACACACACACATATTGCAGCATTGGCTCATCCAACAGCGAGAAATACAGAGCCCCGAAGCAACCAGTCCTAGGTCCACAATCGCGGTCAAAATCATCACAAGGCATCTCGCACTTGTCGCTTTTTGCTGACATGTGTCTTCATCAGGAGAGTAAACTCGCGGGGAAGTTGCACCTCAGACCACGGCCAGACTCTGCCGTGCAAGTGATCTCTGTCAAGACTTCCGAAGGTGTAGGCAGGTCGCCCCATGTCGGCACAGCACCCGCTGTAGGCGCAAGAGCTCTATATGCAACTCCGGCGACATCGGGTCAGCACCTCCTTTCAGCCAAGCTCAGGGTGGCCATTCTACTGAATCATACCCAGAAGCTGCATGCGGACCGTCCTCTGAAGGGATTAAGGAGCTGAAGCTGCTGCAGCACAGGCTTCATGTCCTGTGCCACAGACACGAACAACAGAAATGATGGCAACTGGTGGAGATCATGTGAGAGCATGAACTACGGCACCATACCCGACTCTTTCCGAGCCACGTTACAGAGTGCGAGCATGCTCATCAACTCTGAGTCGAGTTCTACAGGCGCACGGATACCAAGGGATAACTTGAAAGCTTGCACCAAGAGGGCAGGGCGGCTAGGAGTGGCAGAATGACGACTGTCAGCGGCACCCTTCTGCTGCCAAGCTTCTGCAGCGAGAGCATCGACGTCCAAGTCCTGATCTGGTGAAGAGAAAACAAGCACCACAGGTCATGTGAGTGAAGCAGACTGCACAGGCCATGAATACCACGAGCCTCCTCACGGCCAAGTTCTGGGATTCGTTGCAGGGCATGTGCAAAGCCCTGCAAAGCATTTCACAACACATCGAACCGACAAGCTCGCCGAAGCTTTCAGCACCGACCTCGCAGAACTGTCGCACATCTGGCCTGATGCAGGAGCTCGAAGGGGCAAAATACAAAGCACGCGTTTCAGCGCTGGAGGCCTTCCTCCAGCAAATGCCTCAGAGTGAATAATGCCCGTGGGCTTCTCACGGTCTGTGCATCCCAATTGCATGGCCAAGTTGCCGAGGCTTGCATCAGCAAAGTGCCTCGCAGTGGTGCTGGGAGACGGCCACAGCAGCCGAAGTCGATGAAGGCCTTGGGGGGAACCGCGGGAGGCCGACAAGCCGAAGCCGCCAGTTTTTGAGAAGCCGACCACCTGGCATTCTCCAGCCGGTCCTGCAGAGAGGCTCGGGCCAGGCTCCTGGTTGCGGCTCTTTGGCAAGGCCTCTCACCGCAATCATGTTGCCGGTATGCAGGTCTGCCTTAGAGCTCCGACAGACTTCCCATGGGCCCAAGTGAGCAACAAGGCATCAACGGCAGCACAGCAATTCAAGAAGAAAAGCCGGAGCCGCATTTAAGACTTGAGCACAGAACTAGCAAAGCCTGGGGCCCGCAAGAACTTTACGAATTGCACAGCGGACCCTGGCACCACGACAAAACCAGCGACCACGACAGCCGTCAGCAGGTGGCTTTGGTCCAAGATGTAAGGCCGCTGCATGGAAGAGAGCTGAGCCGTCGAGGACCGACACAGCCGCCACGCTCAGTGCAGACGTTAAAGCAGTTTGCCAGTCGTCGGGAGCCTTGCTGCAGTGCAAACCCGAGTTCTTGTAATTGCATCTGCAGACCCGAATTTCAGTAAGTCCGCTGCACTGCTTGGCTGTGAACCTCCACTAGCGCAGAGCTCGGAGAACGGCAGCCCATCAATGCGCTCCATGGTCAGGATACGAGGCTTAGCTTTCAAAGGTGATGGCATGGTCTGTGGACATGCAGCTGTAACCATGTTCTGCATATTGCACATGGTGACATGGAGTCCTTCACCGCAGTTTGAATCCATCCGTATTCCAGTCAAGCGACAGAGGAAGCATCCTCGTAGGTCTTCGGCACGCGAACAGCACTGGCAAGGCGAGCTCTGCGAAGCGTGGCCTTCCATGAGACGGCGCCAGTTCGAATAGACACAGTAATTGCCAGTACATTCTTCCTTTTGCTGCAACTTTGCTCCTCTGCCACTCTGCCGGACCGCTAAGCTAAAGCGATCCTCGTATCACCATGTGCACTGCCCATGATACAGTGTCCTTGCCAACCTGGACAAGCACTCTCGGCATGACTAGGCCGACCCCGAGCCCTCAAAATTCCTTAGGCCCACATGGCACGTATGTCGGAGCAGGCATGGTTTACTTAAAGCAATCATGTGGGGTTTGGACTGGCAGTTTGCCTCCCCCCGCCCCTGGATTGCTTGGTAGCGGGTGTTTATGGGTGCTGCTTAGTAGAACCCGCGTTTTTTTCTGTTAGCGCTTTAACTTTAGCTGATGCTTCGTTCCAGGGATCCAAGCTTCGCAAGTTTGTCTTGAGCCCTGGAGATACCGCTTTCGGCTCTCGTAGGCTCCTCGTGCGCCTTTGGGGACGGTCTGATTTCTGCGCAGCGCATACGGACACCTGTGGGTTTCCAGAGTCCGTTTGAGCTTGTTTGCAAGTAGCGGGTCAGGATGTATGTGTGTGTGGCTTTCTCTGCCTTTCTGTTAGCCCTGGGTCCCGAGTCCAGATGGTTCAGCCTTGCTTGTTATTTGGCTAGAAGCCCCGAAAGATTCTAGCGCACGCATGTGCCCCCTTGCTCGCGAGATGTCCATGTCCTGTGGCTCCCGTTGCATACGTTTCTTGATGTTGTGAGCTGTCGCCGGGCGCGTGTGGTTCAGTGAACAACAGCAGCTTCAACTTCATGCCACGTCCCGTAAAACGGGGCAGTACTGCTGGTCAGAGTACAGGTTGAGGGCAGCTTCATTGAGGACCTCCCCCATCCAGCCACACGCTCATCGGTGCTGCCCTGGCCTTTCTGCTGGAGCTTCCCTCGAACAGCTCCCTTTCAGAATGTGACGAAACCTCCCTCTCTCTGCCCTCTCTCTGCCGTATCTCGCGATGCTTACAAGACCGTCGAGGTGCTGATGTTTCCAGCCAGCGGCCAAAGTCCTGCAGCGCAGTGCATCCCAGGGCCGAACAGCAAAGCGGGAAAACTCCGCGCTCCGGGCCTCGATGTTCTGGCGCTCCATGGCAAGATCGCACTCTGCCATGACAGCTCTTCGCAGCTCCTCGAAGATTTGAAGCTGAATGCTCCAAACTGCTCCGAGCTCACTTTGCGACAAGTCTGGTCCTCTACGCATCCTTCGAGCGAGGCACTTACCAGCTGAAGGACGACCTCCTGAGCACAAGTTTTTTTTGGGTCTGCCAGAGATGTCTAGCCGGGAGCAGGGTCCTCCCCGAGGATGAGGTCTGCAAGGCGCGCAGCCAACTGTACACATTCGAAGTCAACGGCCAGTCGCTCCCGCACACGGGGGCGAACGACTTTCACTACCTCAACATCTCGTAGCATTTCGGGGATTTCGGGGTGATAGAACTGGCCATGCCGGCAGACGCAGAAGTTTGCATGGATCAACTCCATGGCTGTTTCCTGGGCTCCAGACACACCTCTCTCCGCCACGGAGTCTGGCAGCGTGCACCTGAGCAGAAAGTGTGCTGAAAAGCATGCTTGATCAATGGCGACAAGAGGCTGCAGCTGCACACTGGCCTGCGCAATGGATGCTGCAGCCATGGGTTCCGCTTCGAAGTCCTCACAGGATGTGCATGATTCCACCACTGCAGCGATGCGAGGGGAAACCAACCTACGGGGGCACACGCGCGACAGGCGGAATGCAGTCCTCAAAGAGATCGCTAATCTTCAGACCAAGGTCCTCCGCGTTTACTGCAACGCCGAAGGCAGCTGCAAGGCAACAAGGCTTCAGCCGTCCTCCTTCAGAATCTGCTCAATATCTTTTAGCGGAGCCGGAGGCGTCACGGCCTAAGGCAGCTGCATAACAGAAAGCTCTGAACACGGAGATCTTGGAAGCGCCGAGGACCATGCCTGAGCTAGGCTGCCTCAGCTTTGCCAGGATCCCAAAGACCAAAGTGACGGTGCCACCATCGACGAGACAGACACATTTATCTTGTGATGCCTGTCATCCCAATGTTGGTAGGTAACATGCCTTGTCTGTTGCTTGAAACATCGTGTATACTCCTTACGCGTCGTTTCTTTGAAGGGAAGCCTCCTCTGTGCGTGCTATGACTCACTTGCAGCCGCGGAACCACGGCATGCGCGCACCAAAGGCTCCGGGAAGAGGGCCGGGCTGTGCGCCACCACCTCTGGACGTTCAGGCTGGAAGCCACCCATCTTCTACCACATCCCCACGCCAGGCATCCTCGCATGCCAGTCATCCCTCTTGCCAGCTCCAGCCCCAGTCACGGACTGTACCGAGCTCTTTGCAAGCCGATGCAAACACTGTATTTGACAGCGAACTCGGCCGTGGGGCCCTAGGCACTTTTCAGGTTTCGAAGATGCTCGAGACCCGGACCTGCGCCATCTTCACGAAGCCACCTGACCAGGACATGTCACAGTGCGAATGCGAAAAGCGCTACTTGGAAGACTTGGCACATAGCAAACATCGATTCCGGAAGTTGCATGTCAGAAGTGTTCAGCACTCCAAGGTAGAGCACAAACACAACCTGATGTTAACCACCCACTGTGCCGGCCTCCCATCAGGTCAAGCGCTTTGTGAGTAGCACAGGCTGCTGCTTTTTTGGGGTCTTGCACGACTTCGTGTATGCCTCACATGAAGAAGCGTAGGTTCCGCTTGCGCGCCAAACAACCAAACTGATCAGCTAGTACCATGCACATGTATTGCCAGCGTCATATCAGGCTCCAATAAATGCTCTTCAGTGCAGGCATGTGGCCGACACTTAGCAAAGCCCGTGAAAGATCGGCTGTTCGCCCGAGCAGCACAGGCCTTGCCATGCGATCATTGATGCGTGACGCTACGCAAAGCTTCAATCAACACTCCAAATCCAAATCTTGATGCAACTCTCGCTTTGTAGGAAAAATTTTACAACCGCTCGTCGCCGAGTCCGAGAGACGGCAGATCTGCAACAGCGAACTTGGCAGCATCTGCCACGAGCCTTGTTGGCAAATCGGCGAAGGCAGAAGCACAAGATCTGCAGAGTAGATTCGCCACCTTTGCGTCTCAACTCAGCCAAGAGGCCAGGCCGCATCCTCGAGAAGAGCAAGCATTCTTGATGTCAAGCCCCGCAGCACCCTCACAGATTGCCTTTCCGACAAGGCGGCCAGGTACGCCCGAGGCCCAACCGAAAATCCTGCAGACCAAGGTCGAGGACCAGAACACCCGCGCGAATCACCGGATCCGGCCTTCGCGCCGCCTCAGCGCCGTCGTGCAATGCATCGCAAGCGTCCCGGAAACGACTCGGAGAGGCCTCGGGCAGGCGAAGTCTCTCAAATCTCAGTGTCTGTGCCGCACAGTGCCATATGCAGAGCATTCCAAGACAGCGACTGGATCCGTCGGCCTGGGACTCACGCAGTGCCCGAGTGCAAACTGCTCTGGCTTATCAATACTCAAACGCACATCTGAGTCATCGACACTACCGCCGCCATGGCGTGAGATCACAGGACCCAGACTATGATAGATAAATGCGGTGTTCGTTTGGGTATGATGCCAACAATGGCTCTCTGACCACACGATGACTCCGGCTGGTTAGACATGATGCTGAGATGCGCGGATGCTCTACAACAGTATGGTGCTTTCATGGGTCGATCATGCGCATTCATGAGGTCGACTGTAAATACCAACTTAAACTCTGGCACATCGGCGAAATGGAAGTCGAGCACTATCACTAAGTTCTGCAAGTTTCCTGAGGGCCGGTGCAGACACGCCGCACACCTCGGTTCAGGGATCAGTCTTACAAATTTCGCACCCAAGGCCCGTCACAACCCAAGCCCTCCCCCCTGCTGTCGCATCAATCGCAACTCTCCGGGTTAGAGTTTGTTCTAAGGGGTCCTACAAAGCGAAGGTTACCACAAGGATCACAAGGTCGGTTTTACGACCCTGCATGAAGGGAAGCCGGCGTGCCCCAAAGCTCTAACTTCACTGCTGTCTAGTATAGGTGCCTGAACTGAACAAGTGGAATACGGCTTGGGGTATACCATCCTATGGAATAATAACGGGTAAGAAATTATTCAGGCCCCGATATTCTCGCCAAACTCTGTGGATTCTACACTCTAAGCCCCGAAGACGCAGTTGCGGAGTTCCGCGGCCCAAAACAGCTCAACGGTTCATGCGTATTCGCATTGTATGTGTATGTGTGTATATATGTATATACATATCTAATGTATGTTGTTTACATCTAGGTTTTTTACTTGTATGCACATTTATATATACATATATAGATAGATAGATAGATAGATAGATAGATAGACAGATATCGACTGATTAAATGCACGAAACGAAGTATTTCGCAAAAAGCAAAAACTCTATGTGTGTGTTGTGACCCTACATTCCTGACGAGCAAGGTTTATGGTTGCCTACTCAGCTGCCGAGAGGACACGAGGCACTAAGCCAGAAACCCTCTAGAAACTACCCTGAACTAAACACAGACTACTATAAACCCTGTACTAAACCCATGAGTCCCATGCAAACTACCCTCACTTCACTACCCAACTCTATAAATCTGCAGATCTTGAATTATGAAAAAGCTACCTTATTCCCCTTACCCGAAATACTGCATGCAAGCCCTCAACCGAGTCTGAGCTACCTTCAACCCACTACCATAAACCCCCTATGCAAACCTCCACTAGCCCGAACCCCACTCTATAAACCCTGCATGCTGAAGAAGCCCCATGCAAAAAACCCTGAACTGAACCCAATAAACTCCCAAAACACAGCTGTCCTTTAAACCGACTATAGGCGCAGGAGCAGGGGGCTGGGAGGGGGCTGTGGGATGGCTTACTTGGCATCGAGGAAGGACCCAACAAACCACCCAACAGACTATCAAACGGATCGAGAAGTCCAGAACTATGGCCACCACGGGAGCAGCCAAGCCTTCGCCCTAGCCGTGGCTTTCGGCATTGGCCTAATCGACTGCTGTGCCGCAAGGCATGAATAATGTATCAATCCACATGTCGTCACCAGCTGTCAGGATATGAGACTGCCTGTCTGACCTTTGAAACATAAACTTAGACATGATTGAGCGATGGCTGTGTGCTTCATAGTGCGGGGACAAGATCACATAAATGGGCAATCCTTGAGATGTCGAGCTTCAGGCAGGATGTTGCAGGGACGAGCACAGCAACTGGTTCTCCAAGACGGTCTGAAACATCTGAGTTCTCAGGAGCAGTGCAGCTCATGTCAAAATAATATCCGTTCAAATATAAATGTATGATGTTCGGGGATCTAGCATTTTCTGCTGCATTGGCTTCTTTCTACGCTCCGCTCCTTTGGCGCGACCATCTGGTAATTTTAACCTGATGAGAAACCGGCGCGCTTCCGGCTGATCGGGTTTCTTGCCCGCGGCATCTCCAAGAAACGTTGACGCAGACAAACCCACATCCAGCAGCCATCAAGTTGAAGCCTTGAACTCACCTTGTTATACTTAGCCGAAGCCAAGCCAGCACTACATCTGCAGCATCGCCCTAGCTTTCGACGGCACACACCGGCCGGCGGTTCACACGTTTAGCTGCAGGCTGCTCCTGCTGGGCATCGGCGAGCCTCGATAGCCTGTACTGACCTAGGTCGAGACAGCGATCAACTGAGCATTCTTCTGCAATCGCTGCAGCTGCCGAGAGTTGTGCAGGCATGGCGGAACGGCATCCTTGCTGCCTTAGCTTTCTCCTCATAAGATCGCACAAAAAAGCTTTGACGTCTAACCGAATGAGCTCACCCCCTCACATCTAGATGCAGCTAGGGAACACATGTGAGGGCACGTCCGGTGGTGGTATGGGCGGCTGTGCCAGAAGTGCATTGATCCTGCAGGTCTTCTTCTAGTTACCTTTGATACTGAACACCTAGGACCTAGCAACTGTGGCCTCTGCAGCTCCAGCTCCGTGTCCCGCCTTAGGTGTGCGATGCCTAGGAGCGGCATGCAACAGCATGGCTCAGCAAGCGCGGCGCATCGGATCTGCCAAAGCCCTCCGTTGCTGATCATGAGACCTGGGGCACTGCAGAAGGGATTTGATTGGCAACGCTTTCGCCCGGCTCGGGCTCCGGCACTGCAGCGTTCTTGGCCTGAGACAGCCGGGACAGGCCACGATCTCGAAAAGGCTTACAAGCTGTGGTGGCCAAATCCAGGCGTTCGGCATGATCGTTGAAGTTGGAGTGGGCCACGTGAAAATGAGCTGTGGCCTGCTGGATTGCATGTTATGGCCATGCGGCCACATAGGGGTGAAGGTATACTGCTGACGCGGTGATTGGTGCTCCAATCTGATGCGCAGGCAGCCTTTTCATTAACAGGTGCGACATGCTTCGTGATGCTAGGCATCAGGAGGCTCTGCTCGCTGACGGGTTAGGTGCTAGCACTTCTGTGCAGCATCAAAATGTGCCACGACAGCTTTGCTGTGCGGACAACCCTGATTGAGATCAACCATCTTTTGCCCAAGTGGTTTGGCTGGCGCAGACGGAAAGCGGAAACTGAGACACACATCTTGGCAAGGTCATGTCAATGTGCTTCGAACTGCTTTGATGCGAAGTTACCAGGCGCACGTTTTCCAACCCACTTTGTGTCTTCTGCTGGCCAGTGGTGCGACTCGAGGCAATGCGAGATTCAGCATCCAGAATGAATTTCGAATCAAGCAGTCCAGTTGCGCAGCAGAGATTCGCATGATTAGCGAAGTGCAGATTTCCTTCTCGAGATCAGCTTTCGAGTAGCGGCAGATCCATCCCTGGCAGGAGACGACTCCCGATTGTGTGCGTGATGCGACTCTTCACTGACCGAGGCCTGTCGAAAGTGCTGCTTGGGCTCGATGCTTGCAGAGCGGAGGCACTTTGTGGGCGCACGTCTTTCATGAAGCGCTCCCTCAGTCTTCACTGGGACCTCTCCTTCGCTCAAGAGCTAGAACTCTGCAGCCAAAGCTCAGCTGAAGCATTTCCTTCCAGTCAATGCTGCCCTCCAGGACTGCGACCCGTATTGCAAGTGTTCCAAAGAAGCTAGCAATGCGGTAGCACCCTAGAGTAAGACTCATCAGAACAAGCCGGGCCGTGTCGTCAACATCCAAGAACTCCACGATTACACCTGGATCACCCCAGCCCGGGGGTCAAGACAGCCCAATCGCTTGAGGATGTGCTGTTTAAAGTAAGCCGAGCCACGAGTCGATCCCAAGAATCCGAGCTGATCTCGCACGGCGCTCTCGAACTTGCTGCGCGACATACTGCCCACGCCTTCGGGATCCTTGCTTGGGTAACCACAAAAATGTTAGCCACTGAGCTATCATGCGCAGCTGCTTATGTCAGTGCTTGGCTGGAGAAGTGCAGACGGACGGCCAGAAGCTCCCATACCCTTCGCAGTGCTCCACGCGATGATGGGAACTGTCCTCGACAGATAAGGCTGCCGAAGGTTCCAGGCTCCGATCAACAACTGTTTCGCTTGAAAATGCTCAGACATGAATTGAAAAGGAGTGGAAACCTCCTCGGATGCGTTGCATAAGCATAAACTATTTTAAGTTTTACGACCTCTTGAGGACCGAAGTTTGCAATGCATATAGGCCGTTTGCCGCAAGATATGTTTCGAGGCCCCTGGCCATGATGGTTTTGTGGCGACATGCTTGGACCTCACAGAAGGTAGAAACTTGGAGCTCAACTGTATCCAGCTCCCTGAAAGCACGAAAAGTATCATCATGCCCGGCATCGTTCCAGGAAGAGCGCGAATTCGTTGAGTCGCATGGTAACCTCTTTGTACATATCTGCAAGCTCGGTCCACTCCTCCCAAGGGGACTTCTGGCCCGGGCCCCGCCATGCCCCGCAAACCGGCAAAGCACAATTGCTCAGCTGCTCCTCTCTTGAGATGCTGCCACTTCCATTTGGGTCCAGAAAGCGAAAAACTTTCTGAAGCCAAGGCCCTGCGATACTCACGGAATGCGCAGCGCAACACTTGTCTACTGCAGCCTGTCCCTCGCCTCGGAAGGATTTAACGCCCATCCGCTGCATGCGCTCCTGATGCAGCATTGCGCTCAGTTCACGGGCGGCTGAACTGCTTACCAGATCTTACCAGGCTCACCACTTCCCATGCTGCCATGGATCGTGCAGCTCTTTCAAGTTGATGACACCATTGCCACGGACACCACCATCCATGAATGTGAAGGCTTCGTCAAAGTCGCTGAATTTACCAACCAGCAACCTTTGTGCATGGCAGGAATGGCTGGTGCGGGAGCATGAGCGGATGACTTCGGCTCAGACAAGAAGCTGCAGGAACTTGCTGACCTCTTCCGGCGCCTCTGTCAGCGAGGACCACCACTGAACCTGAGAACTGCTGCAGTCCAACTTCCAATGGCCACACTGCTCCTTGGATTCCAAAAGGTAGCTCAGCATTGATGCGGCTCAGCACGCAAGAAAGGAAAGCCAGAGCAAGGCAACGTGGAGCCAAAGGATCGTACAGCTTCTTGCGGAAGGCCCAGTTCCGGGTATCCTTGCCACCAACATAGCTCACCTGCTGCAGGCTCTGCTCAGTCTCCCCCACATTCGTCTAACGAACGGAGAGACCTGAAACCTTGCCGTCATGACATCTTCCATTCTCTCCCAAACCGGAAAATCACCGGGAAAGACCTTTAAGAACATAGCCATGTCTCAACACAGCACCGCAACCTTGATACGTCCACTCGTTGGCACACTCTCCTGCAGAGAGAGATGGTATGCAGTACGCACACGTGACAGCCCGCACTCTGCAGTCCGCTGGCAAGCGAAACCCGTGGATGTGTGGCTGAAAGTTGACACTGGTAGCAAAACTTTCAAACTCGTCGAACGCGGAAACACTTGCCCCTCTGCTAAGCCCCTAGCAAAGTTCATCCACGATCGTGGCGCCAGGAACTGGTTGCCCTGAAGGATGTTGCCTGTGCCCGTCGTGTAGACCTTCAGGGCAACAGCGTAGCCAAGGCTGCCACGAGCATGCAATCCTTCGGGAATGCTTTACCAACGGGCTACTAGTAGTAGCATACCCCTCCCGTCCACCACTTTTGTCAAGTGCTCCAACTTCTCGTGCTCCGCGAGAGTCCAGAGACAATGAAGAGCCCTGCGCTGGTCGTGTTGAGTGAGATCGAGATCGACCTCGTGTCTCAAAGGAGCTTGGAACACGAACAGTCGGCGAAGCCTAAGTCCAAACGACGAGGCACAGTCCAATGGTCTGGTTGTATGTATGGGAAGGAGGCCAGGAAGCCCAGACCTGAGACCAGAAGCTACACCGCAGCTTTGAAGTGTCCTTTCGCTTGCGAGAAAAATGACTTCGCCTGGATTCTTATTACGTCTATGACGAGCCACTCTTCTGAACGTTCAGCAGCTGCTCTGGGCTTTCGAACGCGCATCGGAATATCTTCTCATTCTGCATATCGACCACCCGAAAGAAGAAGAGTACCTAGGAGTCGCACAAGCAGCATGAGTGGCTCCAACGTGCTCTCAAGGGCGGGGTCTGCTCTGCATTCTGGAAAGAGTGGGTCTTGCGTACGGATTGCACTGCAGCGCGCCCGATACTCTTCCTGCGCAGCTCGGATGAGCAACGGCACCGTCCACAACGCAGACGTCTAGCACAGGACATCAACATGCCACATGTCCTCGAACAGATTCAATATTTGCCGCATCTGCGTTGCGCTTATGAAGATATACGTGGACACGCTTCGCAAGGCTTTCAGTCGAATTTCCGAGATGGTGCCGTTCCTCCTGACAGGATAAGGTCACCTAGTTTGACATCAACAACCGTTCCAGGAAATGCAAACTACCGGGTCACAGGGGCAGATAAGAGGAGCGGGGTACGTCTTCTGCGCCTGGTCAACAACTTGAGCAGCTTGTCGAAGTCTTGGCTCTCCTTTCAAGGTCTCTAACTCTGGCAAAAGTCTGAAGCCGCCTGCAGCCGCAGTGAAGGCCCAAGTGTGCCAAGGCTCCATGGTTGGCTCTGTGCTGCTGGGCCGCTTGCAGCTTACATAGTCGAAGGCAAAGGCGTCAGACATAGGAAGGATCCATTGCTTCACGTCCTCACATGAACAGTCTGGGCTTCTTGTGCCACTTCAGCACGGTTGCCCCATGGTGCTCCTGCACCGGCAGGCGCCGCCCCGCATAAGTCATGTTCCGGAGATGGCAGCGGTTGCCATACTGCGAGGTGTCAATGTACGACAAACGCTCCTCAATCCTGGCGCTTGCACGCTTGCGGCTACAAGAATCGAGACACTGCGAATTGGCAACTTGAGTTGTGCTGACTTTTGCCACACTGCCTCGTTTCCCATTGGTTCAGAACCAAAATCTGTTCAGCCAGAGCATAATCTGCGTTGTTGGACATGTCGAGATAGTAGTGTCCGGTGGGGTTCTCAGGCGTGAAGAGTAGCCTTGCAAATTACATTTGCCGGAAACAACGAACATCAAGCATGAACGCTGCCAAAGGGCAATTTCTTAACTCCGTCCAGTACACGGAGATAAAGCTTCATTGATGGCGCCCGCCTAAACGACGACAGGAGTCGGCACTCTTCAGAAGCAGGTAGCTCACAAAACTTCGAGCGAGCCACATCATGATGAGGAATTTCTCGGAGATGCCACCACTCACACAGTGCATCAGGCGAGTAAGGATGCTTTTCAGCATATCAGGATTCCCCGCACACATCTCCTGCGGGAGCTGCACCGCCGGAATCGCAGTTGGGGGACGGAGTTGGCTTCAGGGCGGGTGGGATTGGAAGAATCCATACCCCGCATTGCCCGAGAAACTATTACTAGCACAGCCAGCATGCTGCAGAGTTGAGCTTCACAGTGCGTCGGCTTTCCTGCCAGAATCCGTCCTACTGCCTTTGTGGACTTGAAGCTCATGATCAGGCTGCTTCCCTATCCAAGGGCTTCCGAAAACCCCATGACCCTTTGCAGTATTACGGCGAACAAAGCCATTCATTGCTGAACCAGCAGATAGTCAGGTGACAGGCGTCTCTGCGACTGCATGCGATTGACGGCTTGTGTTCCCTCCTGGAGTAAGGCAGAGGAAATCATGAAGTCCTTCGCCATCACCTGCGCAAGGGCGGGTCGACGTGTATCAGAAGTCTTATTTGCAGTGGTGCCGTGCGGCCTCCAGGATCATCAGCTGCTCCTGAGAATCCTCTGCGGCCAGTTCCCAGTGATACAAGAGCTGAGCGGTCTTGTGAGCAGAAGGGGAGAAACGACGGCACGTCCAGTTCCTCGGAGCCACAAGCAAAACAGCTGGAGCTCTGAAGACAATACCGACAATCCCTGCGTCCCTCTGCTTCATGAGTCTCATGCCATGCGAGAGGGAGGATCACCGGACCGCTCTCCACAATCCAAGCGTCAGATACACCGCTCTCGCATATCCCCACATGTCATCTTCATCATCACGCCATGCAAGCGAGAATGCCGCAGACAGCTGGCCAGAGGACGGGACGTTGTGTCTTCCATCCCTCTTGTCGGGGTGGCTATACGGCATGCTGCTGCTCTGAATCTGGAACGCTGAAGCCGGACTTTGCCCAGACAGCTCACACTTCTTGTACAGCATCCGCAGCAAGCTCCGATGATATGGACGGGATAAGTCCAAGTCATACAGGCCACCTTGGTGTCACGTGCAGCAACGTGCCGCAGAGGTCACTTACCCGTTGCAGACGTGCAGCTTGGATTGATATAGTTGAACAGCTGGTTGCCGTCCGGCCCAGGCTGCACCGCCCCGGCTGTGCAACCGGCAAGATCGATGAAGCGTAGCTTGGACTGCAATCATCGATTGAAGAGCCATGTCTGGCAGCGAGCCCCCGCTCGCACAACCCCGTGTCCTTGCTGCTGCACAGCAATCTCAAGATACTCCGCAGGCCCACCTGCCACTATCCGTGGCGATGAAAAACCAAAGCTTGATCCATGCACAGATGCAGCGCGGCCTGGCCAAGGGGGTTCTCGCTAAGATCCAGGCTTCGAAGAGGAGCACTCTCAAGCGCATCCTCTAGGATCAATGCGGCCCGGTAGTCCATGTGATTGAGCGACAGGTCCAAATGCTTCAAAGTGCCATTCTGGGACAGCAGCTCCTTGTCTCATTCATGCGTCTACAAACGCTTGGTGCTATTTACATCACCAGTCCAGGAAATGCTCGATGGGCAGATCTGATGATGTTGCAGACCTCCCATCAAAAGGCCAAGCCCGCTTCCGTTGCTCCAAGTCTGCAGAGCTCCCACCTCCCGGAGCAACCCGCCAGGCTCAGCTTTTCCGGGCCCCCGCGATGCTTCGACAGGCTCTGCCCCAGCTGCTGTAGCGCCGGACTCAGAGGGAAGGAGCACTGATTTGGGCTTCGGGGAGCTTGCAACCGAAGCGGCGTGTCCAGGCAGTTCCAGGACAAGTCCAGCTTCTGGAGGCGAGGGCAGGACATCAGCCAGCCTCAATGCTCGCGCACGGCGACGTGCCACATGCCAACTCCATGCCGGGAGCAAAATCCACTCTAGCAGACTCTTTGCAGCTTTGCGGCTCATGCACATCCTGAGTTTGCGTGCGATTGACCGACTGAGTCTCTCATTAGTAACAGCATTGCAATTCGTGCACCAAGCCGACCAAGTCAGGCCGGCACTTGCCATCAGTTGCGTATGGTGAGAAACCTGAAAGTGTTGTGTGGGCCATGCAGCAGCTCACACAACGATCACATCCGCTGCGCCTGTGTTGGCCAAGTTTACATCCAGCATTGTCGGGTGGTGCGCGATGGCCTCACAAGACTGTCTTTTGTCGTCTGCGGGCGCAGCTGAGCTTCCCGCCTCTGCCAAGCCCTGGAAGCTCTTCCGGTGGAGAGGCACCTGGAAATGGCGGAGAGTCCGCCTCGGAAGCTCGCGGAGAACTTCCTTTTCCCTGCCTCGCTGACATCCAGCTGCACCAGCTTGTTGAAGGCGCTGCGGCTCAGCAGCCTCGGAAGAGGCTAGGCTCGACTCATCAGCAGCAGAGGGATTGTTTGAAATATATTTCAGAGGAAGTTACATAGGTTTTCTATGATGGCCGCCTCCTGTATGTCCAGCCATTTGCTCCATGGGATTAAAGTTTGACTGTTCAGGCTCGGGAAAGGCCTCCCACAATGTGTCCTCACGAGAATGCCGGTGCCCCTGTCGATCCATGCTAAGCCCTGCGTTTTCCTCTTTCTCGCTTCAGGCGCTTGTGCGGAAAAGCCCCCGTGCTTCCCGGCCACAAGGCGGCCAGGTTGCATCTCCGAGAGCAGTGCCGCGCTGCAGGGGCCCAGAACGGAGCGGAAGCAGAGGCGCTGCAGAAAGGAGGAGTGCGCCAAGGACCGGATCCTGGACTCGCAGTCGCGTCCTTTCGCACCGTGTTGGATGGTGGCAGCAGCTCCGAGGGTCGGGCAGCGGCACGAGTGATCTATCCTAACAGCAAGCAGATCTCTGAAAGAACTGCTGGAAGCTTGCTGGCTGCTGCCGAGCGTCTGTGAGCATCCGGTTCCCTGCTAGATCTGCTGCATCGAGCTGGAGCTCCTCCTCAGGGTGTCTTTTGTGCCGAGAAAGCTCTGCCTGTGCAGTGTGTTTTGGTATGTTTTGCCTTGATGTGTCTCCGTCTGCGTGCCCCCCTACCATAACGAGGACTGTGTTGCTGTCACAATCTTAGATATGCCAAGACTCGAGCAAGGGAATCAAAGGTATCAGATCACCATCCGTCAGGTTCTGGTCTGCCATCGTCAAACTAGAGGACTCACCTGCACACAGCAGCTATTGCGCATTTGACGGGCAAGTTGCATCACTGCATGAAGAAGAGTGGCCTGTGATCAGCGGATGTAGAACAGGTCGAATGCCCCGGATGCTGCATAACTGCAAGAGCATTGCACCACAGGTAGCGATTGCCGTGGGAACTCTCCTACTGAACTGCGTCTATTGCATCGCGTGCGGTGTGGTAACGCTTCGCCTAGCGCATGCTTTTCGAACTGCTCATCTCGGTCATGGCTTCCAGTTGCCGTGGGATAGGCAAAGGTAAGCCATTGCTTCTGTCCCCTGACACTGTGGACCCCTTCAGGCCCGGAGAGTCTACGCACTAGCTTCCTGTGCATCCATGGTAGCCGAACCATGGCAGTCGGTCAGTTCAAGGCAGCGCGATGTTGCGATCCCCCTGTGTTCAAGCTTGGCGAGACCGCCTTGATGCTGCAGAAGCAGATTGGTGCTTCTGACGCTGCACTGAGATGGCGAAGATATTGCTGAGAGAGGAAGCAAAGTGCACAGTCTGTGAGATATGGTGCAGCTCTTCGCAAGTTTTGGAATGATGCGGCACGGATGTCGAGCACCTGTGACATAAATATTGTGACAAAATTGACTAGCACAGCAACATAGCGATCACAGATGATCACATGCCGAAGCGCTTGCGGGACACCATGGTGAGGGAGCGGCTTGATGCGAATGATACATTGCTTTTCACGCGAAGTGACCATGCGAGGAACTTAACCTCCCACTGCTTCCAAAACTGCGTCTCCCATGTGCAATGTATTCAATGCTACGAGAGGTCGAATATGTGGGACAAGCTTGAACTGTCTTCTTGGCTGCTTGGCTGCTTAGCACGGAGATTTGTGAAGCAGCACGAGTAGCTTGAGCACTAGATCAGGGCGTCAGCACACTGAGGGAGGGTAAAACGCACCCAGAAAAACGAGGCTGACCTCTGAGTTGCGATGAACCCTTCCGCTGATGCGATTCTGCTTTGTGCAAGCTCGTGCCGCTCGAGGATGTCCCCTGCAGTCCCGTCTTCATTTGCTGGATCACTCTGCGTCCATTCGTGTGGGCGAGTGTGGCATCAGCACTGCCCTTGCACAATCAGTCATCGCACAGTTTGATCATGAAGTGTGTGCGGCATTACCCCCAGAATTCGATGATCATCAATAATCGATTTGTCCACGTGGTTGGGTTCGCTGCTCATCGAGGTCTTCGACGAGCGATTTGGACGATCGATGAGGTGGCCCATTCTGCAACAAGACGATGTTGCCTGCAGGTACGCTTGGCCCGTGCCGGCCGGGAGTTGCACCAAAACCTCGCAAGACACACAAATTGAGCCAACCGTGAAAACATTCATTGAAATTGATCAGTGGACACGCTGGACTCGGTTTCAGCAAAGGGAGAACGGGCCCGAAAACAACTGTAAATAAGTGTCTTCTTCGTTTCCGTTAACTGTTGCATTGCTCACGCACGCCAGTTTCGCGTAGTAGCACCGCACGGCAGCGCCGTCTGACATTTACCGTCTCACCACTCGTTGGAAAGTCCAATCCACAATCGGACATGTCTTGGTGCTAGACAGAACACGCTGATACTGACCGCACCTGCATGTATTTGCCCCGCGGTGTCATCTGTATGTCGTCTCGAAGAACGATAAGACGATTTGGCGCACGGCTGACTCCTCGAAGCAGGAGCTCGTACGCACGGAACATCCCAGAGCTGCACTGATTACCCGTCACCACGCTAGATCTTCCATGTAATACCAAGTCGCGGCTCGTCAAGGGTGCCCGCTCGCCCTGAGACAGCTTTGGCAATCTGATCACCTTGCGTGTCCATGTCACTTGATACATTCAACAAAGCAGAGTTGAATTTGGCGCAGCCCCAGAGCCCCAGACCGTATTCCGTTTCTGAGCCGAGCCAGAACGGCCTGGGTTCTCACAGCTCGCAGCTCGCTCAGCTTACTAAACCAGTGGTGTTATCCAGGTGCCTGCAAATCCAATTCGAGCACCAACTGCGTCCGCGTCTTGCATTTGCAGAAGTGTCCGTGACTTGTAGTCCGCCTCAGGTTTCAAAGCTCTCGCTCGCAGGAGACAAGCATGCAGGCAACTGGGGCACATCGTTTGTTTCGTGCCTTACGTATACTGGCGACTCGCTCTTTCGAACTCGATTTGGCCAATGCGCCCAGAAGTTCTTTCGTTGAATGTCCTCGACCTTGTTTGAAGTGTGTCGGCCATCGGCATCGTCGCCGGCACGCAGAATGGCCTCAAAAGCGAAGAGCGGATGCATCGAAGCGATCTTCAAGCTGAAGCCAATCTGCTGAGAAGCGGGCCAAGGCCTCTGCCGTGTTTCGCAGCCGTGTAGCAACCTGCCGAGAACCTGCAGGCAGGGGCCTTGCGTGAGGAGCTACAAGCCATGTCGATCAACAATGTTCAACAAAATGGTGCTAGTCATTGACAGCCGCGGCACGGCTGATAGCGGCAACGTGTTTCCAAAGGATGTCTCGCGCAGGCATGACCCAATCTGGGTGGGCTTTCCTGTCAAGCGCATCAGAAGTCTGTCGAGAACCTAATGGCATCGACACAAGAATCCCAAGAAGCAAGTCACCGATGTCCTTTTCCAAAACTGCATGATTGTTTCCATCAGCTTCTCCACCAAGGATTCTCGTCTGATCTCCTCCAGGACCTTCCGCTCCTTCAGCACCGCTTTCGCGCATTCGCATAGCACACTTCAGCTGCCAGAACTTAAAGAACGCGCACTCAAGTATGACTAAGCGTAATTTGAACACTTTCATGGCCAGCCGGGCCTCGGAAGTTGTCCTGTCTCGCGGCCGCTCTCTCACGCTTGACCCATCCAAAACCCACAGACATCAAGATGTAGAGTGGGATACCACCATCGGGTGCGCCAAATTTGAAGCCGAGAAAGCCGGCGGCTTTTGGCCCCGTACAAGCGTGGCTTTTGCATTCTCGCGTCAACACACTTAGGTCAGACAGGATGTTACAAAGGCAATGCTCTGCTTCATCGCGGACTGCGGGCCCTCAGGCCCAGCTGCTCGTCTTGACACACACGACATGGACGACGGCCTGCACGACCGCTCATATTCCCCGGCCCTTCGACCAATTACATCCTCTCACTCTTGGACATTCTTGTTCCACGGGGTCCAAGGAACTTCAAAACAGCACGTACATCAAAAGAGAACGAATACGAGCGATGAACACATTCAGAATTCACCAAAAGCAAAAGATTTTACCTGAAAAAAATTATATATATATATATATCATATATCGGGCACAGTCGGGCACCATCTAACACCAACATGTCTTCACTTATGAAGCCCAAGCTGGGGAACCAAGTGTTCGACTCGTGTCCGGATCTAAACATTGTAAAAAAAGGCGAAGCACCCCAATCCGTGATGACTACGGCGGAAATTGAACTTTAGAGAAAAAACTTCGAAATCTCGTCAATGTAAAGGGAACCACCCTGCGTACTTGCAAGTGCAAAATGAAATCCAAGGAAACCATGTACTGGACTCAAGCTTTCAAGCGTTCAATGTCTCAGACTCACAACTTCTCAAGATTTGAAACTTTCAAGCTGTCAACTCCTCGACCTCAGCAGTGACCTGCGTTCAAGCTTTCAATCTCTCTCGAACTGTCCAAACTTTCGCACCCGCAAACGCTCAAATCTCAACCCCCTGAACTTACAACGTCGAAACGTTCAACCATTGAAAAGCAATTAGAAGCTTGAGGGTGGCTCGTGGGCTCTTTCAGTTTTCCAGATTTCATAAACTCAAAGTCATTTGAACTTTGAAACTCTCTCGAATCTTCGAGCTCGAACACCCTCGGGACACCTTTCCTAGTGCTGGGCAAGAGCTCAGTCCTTCGCTCCACGGCGCATTGCCAAAGCAAGCCGCGCCAAGTGGCCTGGGATGACATGGCAGGAAATTTGAGGCACACCGCCGCACACCGCTTGCCTCCGGGGCTGTCGATCGAGCTGTCCGAGTCCGATAGATCGGAGTGAAAGTTCTGTGACTTTGCTGCCTGAAGCTCACCACAACTGCAAAAACTCTGCAGAATTCCGTCGAGCACCAGGCCCATGCAGCTGTGCGCTGCAGGAAGTCCTTGACCGCCCCGCCCTCAACGGATGCTTCGGAGCCTCGGAACAGAGGGGGCCGACTCGAGCCTTGGAGCAGAGCCTTGCAGTGTTTTTCGAAGCAGCCTGCAACTTCATCCTCCACGAGGTCAGCTTGGGCCAGGTCTCCTGTCTTCTGCAACCCAACTGGCGAAGTGAGGGCGTGGACCCGAGCCTGTCAGAGATCCGGCCTCTCCTGCCGGACCTGAAGCTGAGTGTAATGAGGGCAAGCTCGTTATGGGGCATCTGCTTACCTCCGACACTCTACAAGACAACGAAAGCATTTGGTGATGTGTCATGGTGGCTTTGCTGTGATGGCTCGGTCTGTCGGAGGAGCACGCGACATGGAATGAGACACAAGCCCCCTTCGCAATCGTTGAAGAGGTGAGTAGGAGATGGTGAGAAGATGTGAGGAGGCTCCCACCCAACGAGATGCCGAAGGCAGAAGTGTATTCAGGTGTTCAGCTCCCTATGCGTCTGTCAGCAAAGTATAGCAACCGAATGTGGCTTGCTTTTGCACGCCCACTGCAGACTTGCACGGGGAGTGTCGAACTGGATAAACGATGCTGTTGACAGAGCACCCATCGGAAAGCCAAGAAACTCCCAAGCACCTCGACCTCTGTATCATGGTCATCCATGGCAGGCTCATTTGCTTAAGAGCTCGAGGCTGCAAGACACATCTACCAGTATGGTTCGCTGCTTTACCATCCCACTTTCTCTGTCCACTTGTCTGCAAACTTGCTATGTGCGCCATCAACATATGACCAGCTGCGGAACAGTCACATCACATGGTCTGCACCATCAAGCTCTTTGCGGTATCAACATCCGTCACACCTCCTGGTAAGTGCTCGTGAGTTGTTCCATCATTTCCTTGGCATGGCATGAGTCTGCTGCCACCACTGCGGCAAGGATGGTGTGCGGTTCAGGAGCATGTAGCTGCTTCTCCCGCTGCATGTAGCCCTGCACGACAAGCAGTGCGAGGTGTAGAGAAACAATTACCACGGCAATGTGTACATACCGAGCGAGACCGCCGGACCCGAAACTGCCAAACAAGGTGCCATTAGCCCAGCTACAATCCCTGAGCTGTCCCCAGGCACATGCTTGGGATGGTTGGGAACAACACCTCGAAACTTCAAAACCCTAAACATCGCAGCAAGCGGCAGCTTGACTCCTTGGCTTAACTTATGTTGGACCCTCCAACTTGAAAACGACCTTGCAGATGAACTTCGCACGCCTGCATGAGCTCGGCCACTCGCTGAAGCTCACTTCGCAAAGCAATCACCTTGCGGCCGCTTGGGAGCAGTCTAACAAGCTGAGTGTATTTCTGGTGGAAGCATATTCTTCCGAAGATCGAAGCAAGCCAGCAAGCCTCCTGATACATGGCAGTGACCTCCCGGGTATGCTCCTTGCCAGCATGACTTCCAGAGCAGCAAGGGGAGATGCGCGGCTCCTGCGTCAACTGCGCTACGAGCCTCAGCTGCGGCTCTCGCAGGCTCGTAGCTTCGACAGCTCTGGGAGCCGGACTCATTCGCGAGGCTTGATGCAACCTCGCGGAAGGTGCTGCCGGCCTTGGCAGAGAAGAGAGAAGGGAGTCCACCGTGAACTCTCTCTCAAGGTCCCCTACAGGAGATGAGCCATAATTCTGCCCTGCAGAATTTTGGGAACCTCAGCTCCACGGAGATGCACGGCAACTGCAAATACAACTAAAATACAACTGCAAAAGTGCAACCAGGCAGCGCATGGCGACCCCGTTCCAGCGAGGTTGCAGCAACACTTGAGCCAGAGAGAAAAGTGCAAAGTGTTTGCGATCTAGACAATGTGGCAACAAAGCTCTCCGCTGGTGGGAGCGTCATGCATACTTTTAACCGAGTGGCGCCGTGAGAGGAGCCAAGATGGGGTGAAACGCCTACTTGAGATGCGCTTGCTTCGGCAGCAGAGGCAAGTTTGCAAACCAAGGCTTAGGCTTAAACGACACCTTGTGTCGATTGAAGATCTGTCAACGAGGTCAAACTTCCTCCCTGCCAAATTTAGACACGCGCAAGTGCAGCGAGAGCTGGCGAAGGTCGACCTCGAACACAAGTCAAGACGTGCCGAGGCAAATCATGAAATCACTGCTGTGAATGCTGTCACAACCGACTTAACAAAGGAGGAATGCATCCTTGAAACGACACATGCCTCGTCCAGCGGCCCGTTGTGACCGCAATCGACGTGCATCACATACCCTGCCATCGACCTGACGGAGTGCACATCCGGTCCCTCCAAGACGTCAGTGTTGCACACCTGTCGATGACAGGTCGCGGTTCGCCTTGGACCTGGCCAACAACCGCAGGCAGGGCGGCAGGGTACAGTAATAACAACAGCAGAAAAGTGCTGGGATTGCCGGGTTCTCACTGACCTCTGCCAAGTCAACACTCCTCGGACGGACGATGAAACGGAGCAGCATGATTTCAGAGGCTGCATGCCCGATCTGTGTTTAGCTGCTTGCTGCAGGTGCCTGCAACAAGGAAGCTCCCAGCAAATAGCATGTTGGGGGCAAGGTTCTTAAAGAATGCCGCGAGAGTGGAAACGAAGCTGCCGATTTCATCCAAGTTCAGAATGATCGTCCGCACCAGTCGGTCCAGCTGCTCTTGCTGAACAGCATCATTGCCTGAGGCACAATCTCGTGACAGCAAACTCAAGCAGTCTGTCGATAGCTTGTCTTCTGACGGACACTGCTCATCACTGTTCGGGTGGCGGGACATTCGATTCTGACATCTCGCGCAGCGTGTAAAGCAGAGCCCCAAGCAATGAAGCTTCCCCGTTGCAGATGTTTAGCCCCATTGCCGTTCTAATCATGCCATTCGCGAAAAACTTCTTCACACCAGGAACCTTGCAGTCAAAGCACCCTGGACGCGCAAGTTGCCGAGTGCACCCTGCAAAACGCTCTGCCGCCGTCGGAATTCCCGCCAGACTACCTCAGAATCGGTCGAGAGAAAATCACTCGCCCCAAACTCAGATGGATCTTAGCTCAGCAGTCGGCAGTCACTCGTGCACGAGCCAGATGTCTGTGGAACTGCGCAAGGCTGTCCTGTCGACAATTTGCAGCGCTCGACTGGCAAGCCTACACTCGCGACCAACGTCTCGACCCAAAGGAAATGCGGACTGCAGGGCGGGGGTTGTGCAAAAGCTGGTGCAGTGCAACCCCAGGCTGAAGAAGACTCTTGGGGACAGTTGCCCTGCCTGATCTTGCCTATCTGCAAAGCAGATCACAGAAAATGTCTAGCTCGCATGTACTCTCGTGAGGTGTCTCTGCGCTCCGGATGGAGGGTGCTCATCATCTCTGCCAGACGGGTCTGACCTACACACTGCTCGAGTCACCACTATGGTGTCAGGTCACGTTCGCTGAGTGCTCGGCCTAGCTGACGAGCACTTACCTCATCCTCTCTGATTCGAGGAGCCAACACCATGCTGTAGAGAGAAGTCAACTGCAGGCCTTGGAGAGGAAGCTGTCGATCTCGATTAAGCCAGAAGGAATCTCCTCGGCAGCAACGACTGGAGATCCGACCTCCAACGTCTGTGCCATACCGCCGCAGCGGCCACCGCATTACCCCATAGCACTTGAAGATGTGGGAACAAACGGGAACCAATTGAGCAGAACCGTCCTGGCCAAGCGATAAGAAGGCGAAATCACACCCTTCAGCGCGTGGATTTCCAGTTGCACCCCAGACCTAAGCGCGTATTCGGCGTCCGCATGTTGGCAAAGCAGCGATCATTGCAAGGCCCAGACCTGCATGTTGGCAAGCAGGCACCGAAGTGCATGGCCTCAACGGTCATGCCTGCCTAACAATACCTTGCAAACAATAAACACATCGTCATGGGCCAGATAAACGTAAGATCGTGGCACAGGTTGCCGCGAGTCTCGAGCACCTCACCCAGGGTTTGGCCTCCGCCCTCGATGCCCTCGCACACTACCTCCAGCAAGTGGTGAAGCCTCAAGAGCCCCGGAGCTGTGAGCATCCATGACTCATCGACGTCGGCTTCTAGCTGCTCTAACTAGACTAGCACCGAGACGACTCGCATCTTTGCAGCAGGTGCACTGATCTTCGAAGGGTGCCAGTGCCGAGCGCACCAATTCCACGTTGTCCTCGATGAAACTTGGCCATGAATGCTCCGATGGTGCTGAAATATTTTGCAAACGCTGATTGTGTTCATTTTCTTGCACTACTTGCAATTTGGAGTTGCCCCTTCTTCGGAAATGGCATTGTGGCCTTCCGGCTTTTGTTATCCGGCAGGCTGCTGAAATCTGAACTTCCGCAAACATCAAATCATTCGCTGCCGCCAGCTGACATGTCCGAATCCTCAGGTTCATTCACAGCATGTGATGCGGGGTCCAGAATCGCCTCTCTTTTGTGGTTTCTTTCCTCCACATAATGGAATCTACCAAGCGAGACACTGATTTGTGACAGCCAACACCCACAGCTGGCAAAGTATACCGCAAGAAATCGAACTCGACGACTGGATGCTTCATTTTGACCAGCAAACATCCGCAAACCGATAACCACGAACCCCGCGATTTCTTCACTTGTATTGTTCTTCCGGGCGTTTCACAGTTGGTTCTCCTGTTTCTTCCGGCAAGGCTCGTGTATCTGTTTTCTGGGCATCAAGTTTTCGCTGTCTTCCTCTGCCAGGCCTTTCTGGGAACATTCTTCATCGCCCGTCTGGTGCAAGCGCGGACCCCAAGAAAGACTAGACTAAACATGCTCAACCAGCAAGCATTCGACTGCAAGTCTACAATTGCCGACACAATAAAGCCCAACAGCACACAACGGAGGGAACACAAACGCAGTGATTTCGGCAGCAGTCCAACAAAAAACACCACAGCAGGGCAGAACAGAGACAACGGACATTAACTAGCTAACATCCCAGCTCCTCGAGCCATGTGGTACCAGCACGCTCAAAAGCCGGGCCTTCCCGAGCGGTGCAACTGTGCAACCAGAAACAGTGTGTCAGAACCATTCGGAAACCACGCTAAGGAGTAGACCACCCGCAACTGCATTGCCACAGGCTCCGCCGCCTCGGTCACGACTTCAAGGTGGCTTCGAGGGGGTAGCAAGGACGTCAGCTGCGCGGCTCTGTTGGTTTCAGGCTTCGGCGGCACTTGCAGCTACAGAATGACACTAGCCCAGTCGGCAGCACTAGAGCCGCAGCGAACGAGCCCGCCGCGGATGGCGGACTGCGCGTCGGCATTCTCAGCCTGGGAGCTCGCCCACTGGCAAACACCGAACATAGCGCGTTCTCACTGGCCCTTCTCATAAGTCGGCAGCCTTCACACGCACCTGGGAGCAGCTCTCGACGTTTTTGCTTGAAGCTCTTGGTGGTGAACTGTGGGCCGCACCGAATCTTGGACAACAACTTGGCGCGCTGGCCTGCACAGCAAGACACACTGGCAAAGTTGGGCGAGCCTGTCAGACGGCTGTTTGCATATGCGAGAAGCCACTCACAGATTTCCCACACACTACTGTGAAAGACACTCGCTCAGCTTCGTGCCGCCCAGAGAACCTGTCGGAAAGATCCTGAAGAAAAGCTAACCGGCCATGCGCTGAACAAGGAGATCGAAACATCAGTGAGGCCTCTTCTCCCTCACACAGGGCAAAGAGGTCGTCAAAGAAGCACCATGCCTAGCAGTGGCTTCAGGTACCTTCGAAGTGCTGCAGGACACCTCCGTGCACCTCTGCAAAGCTGTTCAGCGTTGCATCATCGAGGTTCAGACGCTCCTCGTGAGAGCGTGGAGACAACAGCCCGAGGAGCTTCCTTTGCGTGCTCCTGATGCGAGACACGCTCCAGGACTTGCAAAGCCACCTCGATGCACACTGCCCTCCAGAACAAGGATTATCGCTTTTTTGGAAGGATTCAGTCGCTAGGCACTTCAACTGTTGCCCTTTGCTAAGCAGTAGCCGAATTGTCAATTGGGCGCTGCGGAGACCAAACCGGCACTGTTGGGAACCGCGCAGCGGTTCGGAGTGAAGCAAGCTCCAAAATCATTGTGTCCTGCGGAACAGCATGCACTGTCCTGCACCGTGAAGCAACCCTGTGCCGGCTTCACGTGAATCAAAAAGCTGTCCCGAGGGTCGCATATCAGTAGCTTGTGACACCGCACCTGGCTAAGCTGGCACTCAAGCACAGGCGGTTGTGAACAACAGCATCCTAATGAGCTGGCTGCCTCTACAAAGTTCTCCGTATTATCGGCCACCATTGACCTGGCTGTTGCAGCACAGAGCGATTACGGCTTGAGGCGGATCACAGTATCGAGGCGCAGATCCACGCTTCCCCTTCTGTGTAAAGGACAATGACTTTCTTGGCTCTTGCCTTTCTAGGCCACACACGCACAATGAGTCTCCTCGAATGCGTGGTGGGCATGTCGAGGGCGCCAACAGAGTCAAGAGTTCCTCTAAACTCTTTGAGCGGAGACCTTGACTCTCACTGACACTAAATTTAAAGATTTGTACGGAACGATGCTCCGAAGAAGATTCGTCTTCGGCTTGGGACGTTAACAATCCGCCCTGAGCGGATGCTTTCAAGAAAGCCTAGTGCCCAGGGCCTTTCGAGAGCCGCCAGCTCGGAAGCTAGTAGGTCATGGATCGAGTATGCCTGAAGTTTTGAGTTGCCAGGCTTGAGCTCCCTCTGGGCAGTCTCAGGTGTCAGAAGGGAAAATCTGGGTGCCGCGATCAGGCACCTGGCAGAGGGCAGCGGCGCCAATGAAAGACGTCTCTCCCGCAACGGGAGGCTAACACCCTGGTTCCAAGGGGAGCCTCTGACTCTGACTGCGCTTTGGGAGGCCCAGGCTCGCCAGGCTCCTGAACCGCAAACGTCTGAGACTTCTCGTTACAGGAGACCTTTTAGCCATGCAAAGGGCCTTTGGATGGGATTCCGCCCGTAGCTTCACCTGACCAGGGTGGAAAAGAGATCATTGAACACGTCTGTCTCTAAGCCTGTCGGAAAGCTGAAGCCCTGGGAAAAAGTGACGGACAACAAAATCGCGAGACCGCAAGGACCCGTTGAGAAATGTCAGCCCATCACAAAGTATTGCACGGTCCCGTTACTGCAGATCTTGATTTTACCGCCTTCGCAGCATCTTTCGCCTACTGAGTACCCGGTGTCTCTCTGACTCGATCCTGTTCTGCGCAAGCCTTCTGGCGCTGCCACGGCCAGCCTTCCACGTCGGGTTGGGACCCACGGCGGACGTCCTGCCAGACTGGACAAAGCCTGGCCGGGGCACCTGGGGCCACCTGGCCTCCGGGCCAGGGCCGCATAAGGATGCGGTCGGGGTGACCAGCGCACGTCCTCCGGAACGGCTGCACAGTTGCGCAATGTTGCACAGCTGCACGCAAGCTGAACCGACCTGACCTCGGCATGCATCGAGCACGAGGCGCGTCGTGCTTGGGGGCCTCTGCGGCCAAGGCAGGCGCAACCTGAGCACCGCAGCTTGTCCACCGGACGAAGAGAATGGAAGTCCGGACTGTTGTTAGGTTCGACGACATGCCAAGGCCATGTGGCATGGACAGGTCCGGCTGCGGTGCCGAAACGGAGCGCGAACCGGAGCCTGTCCCGATATGCATGAAATTCCTGGCTCGGTTCGTGGAATCGGCCTTGGAGCTCGGCACTGCGAGCCACGGTGCCGCGACTGCCAGTTTTCGGCAGCACGCGGCCTGTGAAAAGCACCAGCTCCACCCGCGCAAAGCAGCTCCGCAAAACACGGCAAAACTAGGTGTCTGATACTGTGCTTCGCACCAGCGAGTTGTTGGTCAGATCCGCTCCAAGATAAAGCCGACTTGATGACGGCACTGTAGGTGATCCTGCCACATCAGGAACCAATGACAAGCGGTACTAGTGACAAACTAGAATGCAATACAACGTAGAGCTGTCTGCAACACGGCTCTGGTCATCGATGGATGCAAAAGCGCAAGCTTTCGGAACGCAGTGCTGCTCGCAGCACAGTCTAGTGGGGTAAACTGAAAAGGTAGGGAGTGGAACTTGTGGTGCAGGTCCGAATCGCCTGAAGTCTTTGCCGAGCTCGCAACATAAAAATTACTGCTGGAGCAGCGGCGACCAGCGTTTAGGGCAGCAGCAGCAGCAGCAGCAGCAGCAGTAGCAGCAGTGCAGCGGAGCAGCAGCAGCAGCAGCAGCAGCAGCAGCAGCAGCAGTGCAGCGGAGCAGCAGCGGCAGCAGCAGCAGCAGCAGCAGCAGCAGCGGCAGCGGCGGCGGCAGTTGTTGCGATGTTGTTTGTGCCTGCAGCATAATGACTTCTCTCGCTTGCCCTTACTAGAAGGTAAATGTGCAAGTTT